CTACTGCACCATTGCACTCATTTCACATGCTAGCAAAGTTATGCTCAAAATCCTACAAGCTAGGCTCCAGCAGTATGTGGACCGAGAACTACCAAATGTACAGGCAGGGTTTCAAAGAGGGAGAGGAACTATAGCTCAATTAGCCAACATATGCTGGATCATGGAGAAAGCTAGGGAGTTCCAGAAAAACATCTACTTCTGCTTCATTGACTATGCTAAAGCCTTTGATTGTGTGGATCACAACAAATTGTGGCAAGTTCTTAAAGAGATGTGAGTACCAGACCATCCTATTCCTCTCTTGAGAAACCTCTATGTGAGTCAAGAAGCAACAGTGAGAACTGGACATGGAACCATTGATTGGTTCAAAATTGAGAAAGGAGTTTGGCAGGGCTGTATACTGTCGCCCTGCCTATTTAACTTATATGAGGATTACATCATGAGAAAGGCAAAGAATCACCAGTTGGAATTAAGATTGCTGGGAGAAATATCAACAACCTCACATATGCAGATGATACCACTCTCATGGCAGAAAGTGAAGAGGAACTAAAGAGCCTTTTGACGCGGGTGAAAGGAGAGAGCGCAGAAGTTGGCTTGAAACCCAACATTAAGAAAACTAAGATCATGGCATCCAGTCCTATCACTTCCTGGTAAATAGATGGGGAAGAAATGGAGGTAGTGACAGATTTTATTTTCCTGGGCTCCAAGATCACTGTAGATAGTAAATGCAGTCAAGAAATTAAAAGACGCTCGCTCCTTGGGAGGAAAGCTATGGCAAATCTAGACAGCATACTAAAAAGCAGAGACATCACCTTGCCAACAAAAGTGCATATAGTCAAGGCTATGGTTTTCCCAGTTGCAATGTATGACAGAAAAGCATGTCACTTTGTATATTAACAAAACCAAACATCAATTTTAAATTGTAGAATCATTAAAAAGTCAACTACGGCCAAAATTGTGAGTACTGCCTAATGAATTGACGGTGTAGAACCCTGAGTACCAAGTGTCAGGCCCAGTTCTCTCACAATGACTGCAAAGAAAAAGCAAGCTCCTTTATTAAAGCAGGAAGCAAATACAAGCACCTCTCCAGAGCCCATAGGTCAGACTCCTTTGGGATCTCACATGCAAATAAACTCAAGTAATCCAAACAGCAGCCAGAAACAGGGTCTTTAAGTTCAGAAGTTTAATCTAAGACAAGGTTCTAAACCATGGGATTCAAAGCATAATTCAGAGTTGAAGCAAAAAAGCATCTGGGATGTTATACCCATACGCTTCTTTTGTCTCCATTCCAGCTTTTATGCAAGAGTGGGGAGGCTACAGTTCCTTGCTTGACCATCTAGCCCTGTAGGATATCTCAGCTTGAAGTCAAGAACTCTGATTGAAAGGATGACTTTCCTGCTCCTTTTTCAGCTGCTGCTGCTTGCTTGGGTGACAATGAAATGTGTAGGTCATAAGTATACTTATATGCAGTTCCATAGAAATATCCCCTTAGTTCAAAATCAAAATAATTCACATACTATATTATGTTGATGTAAAAAGCTGTTGATAAACATGTCAAAAATTGAAGTTCAGGCTCTTGTAGAAACCTAAATCTTGAGCAAGTGTATCGATTTCTCCTTCCTTTTCAAAGGTACTGTCAATGGACTCCAATGCTACAACATTCACTGATACTTTCAAAATAAAGGAAATAACTGTAGAACAACTCATGAGATACCATAACATATCCAGGGGCTGCTGCTCTGCTCTGTGTTACTGCATCTAACCCTCTCATCCTAATTAATGCTTTTAAATATTTGCCAATCGAAATAAAATTTAGTGGGAGTTCATGATGCTGTTAGTGTGAAGCTTGATTAGCATACCCCCACCTCTGCATCAGTAATGTCACATTCCCAGGATTTTCTGCCACTTTGTGTAGGCTTTGACCTACCATGGCATTCTAAACCAACAAAGCATAAGCATACATGGAAAAACTGCAGTTGCACCATAGCAGTACATGAAAAATAGAAACACAGAAAAAAAGTGAGTCAGAAGGGTCTTCCGAGGTCATCTAGTCTGGCCCCTTACTCCAGCCAGCTCAACTCATGTAATCCCCAACATGTGGTTAACCAATCTTTCCTTGAACACCCTCACTGATGGGGCCTGAACCACCTCCCTTGGAAGCCCATTCCATATCCTAAGTGTCCTAACCATCAAGAAGTACTTTCTGACATCCAACCTGAAGTCTGTTTCCTTGAGCTTTGCCCCACTGGAAAGCACCCTGCTCTCCACTGCAGGGAAGAACAGGTCATGGCCCTGCTCCACATGACATCCCTTGAATACCTATAAGTTGCTAAAAGCTCCCATCAGAGTCTCCTCTTTTTCAGGATGGAAAGATCCAATTCCCCCAATCTCTTCTCATATGACATCCCTATCAACCTGGCTACCATTCTTGTAACCTTGTGCTGAACCAATTCTAGCCTGGTTATGCCTCTCCTATAATGTGGAGCCCAAAACTGGACACAATACTCCAGTAGTGGGTGGACCAGAGTCATGCAGAGCAACAACAACTCCTCTCTAGATTTGAAGCCATGCTGGCTATACACCCAAGGGTGGTGTTTGCCTTAACTACTTTATCACACTGCTGGTTCATGTTCAGCCTGCTGTAGAAAAGTATCATGAGATCCCTTTCACAAGTGCTGCTCTCCAGCCATTTGTCCTCCATCCTGTACCTGTGACAGCTATTCCTGTGTCCCAAGTGCAAGACCTTGCACTTATCCATACAGAATGCCATCCTCTTGTCCCCTGCCCACTTCCACAGCCTGTCCAGATCCTTCTGGATCTGGATCACCTGCTCCTCAGTTGTGGCCACTGTCTCCACTTTGGTATCATGAATTTAGTCACCAAACTGGTTATCCCTTCCTCCAGGTCACTGATTACAAGGGTGAACAGAATTAGTCACAGAATTGAGCCCTGGGGAACTCCACTAGTCACCGGCTGCCATCCTGATGATTCCCCACTGATGGTCACCCTCTGCTTGTGGTCCATCAGCCATGCCCTAATCCATCAGACAGTGTATCAGTCTATTCCAAAGCTCAACAATTTCTCAACCAGGAAATCATGTGGCACTTTGTCAAAGCCCTTGGTGAAATTCAGGTAAACCACATGCACCATGTCTCCTCCATCTAACCAACTCAAGATCTTATCATAGAATTCCACAAGGTTCATCCAGCAGGATCTGTTTTTATGGAATCCATGCTGTGTGTAAACTCCCATCCCTGTTTAGGTTTTCTGGAGCTTTCCCTATTATGAGCCTTCCCAGAATGGATGTAAGGATAATTGGCATGTAATTTCCCATATCCTGTTTGCTACTCTCCAGTCCTCCAGAACTACTACTGTTTTCCATGAGGTCTCAAAAATGTAGGCAAATGAATGCAAAAGGACCCCTGCTAATTCCTGAAGTACCCTCAGGTGTAGCCCATCAGGGTCTGGTGCCTTTCTAACATCCAGGCCCTGAGGAGCTCCTCAACCTCTAATGAGGTGACTCCTACCTCCTTTTAAGTGGTCCCACCACCTGTCTCCCCTTCCTCTTCCTAGTTACATGAAGGTAGAAGCACTTTTTGTTGTTCTTGACATTCTTCACACATTTCACCTCATAATCAGCTTTAGCCTTGTGAAGAATCCTTCTGCATCATGCTGCCTCTTCCTGGTAAATCCTTTTGTTCACTTGCCTCAGTGTCCAATTCTTGTGAAGGTCCATCTTCCTTCTAATCCCTCTTACCACCTCTCTTTCCATCCATGGTGGTGTCTTCCCATGCCTATCCACTTTGCTAATTGGTGGTATCAGTATGGCTTGCACCTCCAAGACCTCCCTTTTTAGAGTCATCCACCCCTCCTGAACTCCATTGCCTTCCAGTACCCTCTCTCCCAGGAGACTTCCTCCATTCTGGCCGTCAAGTGACTGAAGTTGGCCCTTGAGAAGTCCCAACTCATGCTATGTGTGTGAATAACAGTCACACATCCCTCTTTTTGTTCCTCTCTCAAAACTCTTGCAGAATGACAAATGTATGGCCTTTTGGCAATTATTTCTGGACTGAAATAATTTCCTCTGGCACCTGTTGTAGCCCAGAGATTCCTAGGCAAAATAGCAGCAGGATCATTTCAGAACGGAGTGGAAACTTGAATATACCTTTGCCCCTCTCTAAATACTCATGTTTGCTTTACTCCATTCTAAATATAGTAGAAGCCACCTCAGGAAATAAGATAGGATATGAACCTTAGACATGTCCCCATTTGAGGGCCCAATCTAGTCCCTCATGGTTCTCTAGCCATCTTCCCTTGCCCTATCCCACCATCCAATCTTTTTGTGCTTTTCCAGCTTCTGTGGACCTCCACATTTCTAAATGGTTGAAATGCATCCCTCAAGATTTAGTTATGAGCAGTAAGAGCTTAAGCAAAAGTATACTGATATTTTGACCCTGCCCCCTTTTGCCTTCAGTCTCACTCTCATTCCAACACTGTATTCAGCCCTCATGCTTAAGGAGATTTCACACTCCTGCACTAAACCAAGAATAACTTAGTCTGGAGCCAACCCACTGTTCACACAAACTCAGTCCACATCTAGAATTCTGTTTCATAGTTTTAAAAGTTTTTCCTTGGGATGAAAATTTCAGCATACCCATTCTATGTCACTATATGCTGCTGCTAATAAAATATGATGTTTTAAAATATTGATATAATTAAAAAATGATCTATGTTCTATTTTTGGAATGTATGTGCATTCTATTTATCATGTTATTATTTCTATGTTGTTTATTTTGGTTCTATTTAATTTTGATAGCTTATTTATGGATTTTATTGTTAATGGTTTTTGTAATTATAGGTTGTCATGTTGTCTAATCTTTTTATGCTGTTTCTGGATTTTCATACAATATAAGCCTCCCAGAGATCCTATGGCTAGTGGGGTGGCATATAAAGTGAATGAATGAATAAATAAATAAATTCTAAGTGGTCAACATTTTTCTTACCCAAATGAATAGTAAAACTTTCTTCCAACTGCCTCTGGTCTTCAAAAAGACTTCCATTTCCTTCTATAGATTCCCTCCACTGATTAGGTTGAACTTTTATTTCATCACTGAAAGAGAAAAAATATTAAGATGGGTAGGCTTTGTGCTCACCAATTCCATATTTATTAATTTTTAAAAATATTTTCAAATACTGTTTCAATGTCTAGATGAAAATTCTAATCAAGACGGCACCATGGATACACTAGCAATTTGTAAAACTTATAGGGGCAACTACAAAATAACTGCCTTGGGGACATGCCAAGTGATGAAATGGCACTCAGAGAAAATGCCCACAAAGTTGCATATGCGCATACAAAGAGATTATGCATGCTATTACATATACCCAGAGAGCATGCATAGAGAGAATAGAAAAAGAGAAATTAGGCAGACAGAAAAGTCATGCATGTACATGCTCACAGATGCATGCACACAGAGAAAACATGCATATACAGACAGATACAGAGAAAACATAAACACAGGGAAAACTCTCTAATGTTAGATGGGATCTGGATTCCTTTTTTTACTTTCATAATTTCTCCTCCACAAAAATGGAGAAAGAGGCTTGAAATTGAAATTCACTTGTCCTATCAAAACTGTCTCCTTTTTGGATTTCCAGCTTCAGTTTCATGCTTGTGCGCCTGATTTAGGACTGTCCTAGAATTTGAAATGTATATAGAAGTTCTGATGCTATTTGATTTTGTAGTGTTCATGTTCTCTGATCCTAATCAAGTTTGCTTTATATTAGATGCTGGATTTTGACTAAGTGACATTCAAGTTCAAGGAACTTTTCCTCTTTGGAACCAGTATGTTCTTGCTTACTACTGTCTATAAAGCAGGGGTGCATTACCTCAAAACCAAAGGCCAAACTGCGCCACTTGTGTCCCAATCAGGTCATAATGGATATAACAGCACCCTATATGTCTCTATGACCTATTGTATGTCTTCAAATATAAGACAGGCATTTTCTACTCCACTGGCTGAATATTTGCACTAGTTCACCCAATTTGTAACAAACAAGTAAACCATGGGTCCTCACACTACAGCCCGCAGGCTGGATCTGGCCCACCATGCCCATTTATTGGGCCCACCATAGAGGTTTTGGACTTGCCACATGTGCACGCATGGCTAAGCAGCAGCTTGCTCGTGCAGAGATCATTTTGGATTTGCTTGGTGGAAAAGATCTTGCTCGCAAGCACAGCGGCTCGCTGTGCAGCAGCTTGCTTGCAAAGAGATCATTTTGGGCTTGCTCAGAGAAAACAATCTCCGCACGTACCCGCCCCTGCCTCACCAAGAGCGCGCCCCCCCACTGCCCCCCGCTCACAGTGCCTTGGCGGCTCATGCCCATCAGTGGCACCTTTCAACTGGCCCCCTGCTGAAAAGTTTGAGGAGCCCTAAAGTAAACAAACAAACAAACAATAAAGCATACCCAATAGTGGTGTTGGGATTTTTAAGGTCCTCATGAAGTTTTATCACCCATTCCTGATATTCTTGTTTTTGGATTGCTGTTGTTTGTTTCAGTTCATTGTTCCACTTGTTCTCCAACACCTAAAAGCATACATCAACTGAATCAATTTATATCTTAACAGCGAATTATTTGCAAAATTCATTCCAATCATGAAAATTTATGTACCTGCTGGGATTCAAAGTGCTGTGCTGCCAGAACATTTACATCTTGATCTGTTAGTGACTTTCCCAATTCTTTCATCACCTTATCCATTTCAATGCTTTGCCTAAAATCAAGAATATCTCATTTAGTCAGTAATTAGTATATATTCCAGATGATTGTCATTATTTTTATTAAAACATCTTTAAAATACAATTCCTTTTAAAAATAGTAATATTAAGACTTTTACAAATAGCTATATGAACAACAGTAACAGCAGAACAGTATTTATTTTTCTAATATAACATAGCTTTTTATCAGCAAAATGACTTTTTGTAGTTCTACCTGCTAACTTCAGAAAACCCCATACAACATTGACTAAGGTGGTTTACAGCCCATTCTTAAGTATATTACTTAGAAATGAGACCAATTTTTCAGTGGCTCTAAGGCACAAGTAAATCTGTACAGGACTGCAGCTTGATACTTGGCTGGCCTATTGAATGAGGTCTTTGATTCCTAAGACAGCTATTCTATGGTGTCTAGCATCACCATAGTATCTTAAGGACCATAGAAAAGCTTGTAAACCTTTGGAGGGTTTTCACCACCCCAGAAGAGGGAATTCTGGTTTCTGACAGTAGCAGAGCAGATCAGAGGAAGCTGCTGCCAAGCTCCCAGAGAGCTGCAACTGAAAGGAAGTGGCCTGATTACTACCAGCGGCTGTGTGGGGGGGAGAGATTCATTCTGGTTCCTCACTCATAGCTGTGCAGATCAGTGGAACCTGCCCCAGTTGGTTGAGGGACTCTGGAATTCTGGAAATAAATGACACTGTCAAGCAGAGCTTTGAAGTGGGAACTGTCTTTACATCTTAGGTGGTTATTTATTTATTTAGAAAAAAACTTATGATTATTTTCTTTTTCATTTTATATTAATTTTAGCAGTAGCAAAAGATGTCATGTTAAAACAGGGGTCCTCAAACTTTTTCAACAGGGGTTCAGTTGAAAGGCGGCGGTGACAGGTGGGGGTGCCTGGGGGCGCAGGCCGGTGAGGTGGGGGCAGGCGCGTGCGGCGGTGGTGGCTCACTCACTCAGAGATCTCCCATTGAGTCCAAAACCAGCTCTGAGCGAGCGAGCGAGCCGCCACCTTGCTGCCTGCATGGCAAGGCGGCGGCAGCGTGCGTGGCGAGACAGGCAGTTGCAGGGAGTCCAAAACCTCTGAGGGGGGCTGGATAAATGGGCATGGTGGGCCGGATCCAACCCGCAGGCCGTAGTTTGAGGACCCATGTGTTAAAATATATATATTAGTTATACCTTTCATGTAATTTTTTCAGTTCCACATCTCTTTCGCTTATTAGTTCTGAGATGCTAACAAAATAATTGTGTTCCAGGTTTAATAAAGTCTCAGAAGCAGGTGAATGGATTAAATCATGATAGACATCTGCAAAATCTTCATCCCAGCTGGGATCTTCAGGTTGTGCATGCTCCAGCGTTGCCTGAAAAAACAAATAGTTATAAAGAGATGCCATGCAGATGCTAAGAAAAAGGCACCTTTCATTGGAAAACCCATTTTGGTTTTCTTAGTGTTAACACCTAGTCAGTCATGCAAATTGAAACTAATCCTGATGTATATGCTTCTGAAATTAAGAAAACAAAGACCTCCTCACATTCTGGGTGTTTTGTATAAGTTTATAAATAACTTATTAAAATTAAACTTGCATTCCTATCTACACTTATAAGACTGGGACTTAATGGAACTTACTTCTGAATGCAGATACATAGGATTGAATTCAAAGTTGTTTTCTTCTTTATATTACTCTTCATACTATTTCCCCCTCCATAATCCAGTGATCAAATCATTTTATCAAGCCAATCTGTTTTATAACCATGTTAATTAGAGAACACTAAAAATATTCTCTAGTAATGAAAGGCTGTGCAGAGTGCTGTGGGAGCAGCCAGCCAAAGCCTATCTACTTTATCTGACTATAGAGCTTATTGTCCCCAGCCCTGGGAAGAACTGGGACAGGCTAAAGTGAGCCCAAGATAATAAGCACTTCCAATTTCCTTTGTGGAGTGCATCCAATGCCATGCCAATACCAATGGTATGTGTGTGGAGGAATCTGCATGTGGGGGCAGAAAAAAATGCATGAAGTGGAAACAAACTGCATTTGTACAGGGAGAAAGAGTGCATGGGCGGGCAACAAAGCATGTATATGCAGGTGTGGGACAAAGTGTACACGTGGTGAAAATCAACAAAGTGCGTGGGTCTACGTGACAGAAAGGGAAAGGGTATGTCTGTGTGTGTGGGAGGGAGGGACAAAAAGTGTGCACATGTTGTCCAAGGAAAATGATGCCAAAAGGAGAAAGAGGGTGAGGGTGTAGGATATAAGGAAGCATGTTGTGCAGGAGAAAGAGGGGAACAAAGTATGTATGTTCATACACACTCAGATATGTACTCACTCAGTATATATACATCTGGTGCCCAGATGCATGCACACACACACTGAGATATATGCTCAGATGGCTGTCCAATTTCTTTTGAATGTCTCTAGTGTGGGAGAGCCCACCACCTCTCTAGGCAGCTGGTTCCACTGTCATATTGCTCTGACAGTCAGGAAGCTTTTCCTGATGTCCAGTCTGAATCTGGGTTGTCGCAACATGAAGTGATTATTCCATGTCCTACACTCTGGCATCAGCAAGAAGAGATCTTGACCTTCTCCTTTGTGACAGCCTTTGAGGTACTTATAGAGGGATATCATATTCCCCACTCAGTCTTCTCTTCTCAAGGCTGAAAATGCCCAGTTCTCTCAGTCTCTCCTCATAGGGCAGTGTTTCCAAACCCTGGACCATGTTTGTTTGTTTGTTTGTTTATTTAAACCATTTCTATGCCGCCCCATTCGCAAAAAGCCTCGGGGTGGCTTACAACAACAATAATTAGACTTTAAAAACCGGACACATCTCGGCATGTACATAAAAACCTAATAAATACAGTCAATAAATTAACAATTAAAATAACTTTTAAATAAAAAGGTCTTGGCCTGGCACCGAAAAACAAATAACGACGGCGCCAGGCGGACCTCTTTGGGGAGTGCATTCCATAGGTGGGGTGCCACCGCAGAGAAGGCCCTCCTCCAGGTACTCACCCTCCTAATATCTTTCACGGAGGGTTCCCGGAGAAGGGCCTCTGCTGCCGATCTCAAGGGGCGGCAGGGCATATATGGACGCAAGCGCTCCTTTAGGTAACCAGGTCCCAAGCCGTTGAGGGCTTTATAGGTGATAATCAACACCTTGAATTGGGCCCGGACTTCAATGGGAAGCTAGTGAAGCTGACGGAGGACTGGGGTTATATGAGAACAACACCCAGTCCCTGTCAGCAACCTAGCAGCTCTGTTTTGCACCAACTGAAGTATCCGGATCGTCTTCAAAGGTAGCCCCACATAGAGCGCGTTACAGAAGTCTTGTTGCCCTCCACTGGACCCTCTCTCATTTACCCACATCTTTCTTAAATCTTGGTGTCCAGAACTGAACGAAGTATTCCAGGTGAGGTCTGAATACTGAGGAGTATAGAGGAACTACTACGTCTCGTGATTTGGAAGCAATACTTCTTTAAATGCATCCCAAAATAGCATTTGCCATACTGGTGGCAGCATTACATTGTTAACGCATGTTTACTCCAAGGTCTTTTTCTTTTTCAGTTCTGTTGAGTCACATATTCCCCATCTTGTATTGATACATCTGGTTTCTTTTTCCTAGGTGGATAACGTGGCACTTGTCCTTATTCAATCTCATTCTGTTGCTTTCAGCCCAGTGTTCAAGTTTACCAAGATCACCCTGGATCTTCATTCTGCTTTCTAGAGTGTTTCCTATTCCATCCAGTTTTGTATCATCTGCCAATCTGATTATCTTTCCTTGTACTTCCTCATCTAAATCATTAATAAAGATGTTGAAGAGCACTGGGCCCACGACTGAACCCTGTGGCACCCCACTGGTTACCGCCATCCAATTTGAGAAGGTGCCATTGATAAGCACTCTTTGTGTACGATTTAGCAGCCAATTTTGGATCCACCCAATTGTTTTTCCATCTAGTCCAGCTTTTCCTAATTTGCTATCAGAATGTTGTGTGCCAATATATCGAAAGCTTTGCTAAAGTCTAGGCAGATTATGTTTACCATGTTTCCTTTGTACATCTGAGATGTTGCCCAGAACAAAAAAATGAGATTACAGGACAGAATTTAGTTTTGATAAAGGAGGATTCTTCGCAAGGCTAAGGTTGATTATGAGCTGAGACTTGGCAAGAATATCAAGCACAATGCAGCACAGATGGGGATTCGGTAGTCAGGGTGAAACTAAGGGGTTTTGACAGGGAAAGGGACCTGACAGTGGGGGTATGTTATCGCCCTCCAGGTCAACTTGAGACCCTGGATGTCCTGACAGATCAGATTCTAAGGACATCTTGGGGGAGGGACACAGTAATTATGGGACACTTCAGTCTCCCTGATATTAGTTGGGAGAGTCAGTTAGTAACAGGAACCTCCATACAAAATGGGCACTGGAGCAAATAGACAAAAGGGTATACAGGCAGGAGGAGGCCCATTGCAGAAGGATTCTTCGCAAGGCTAAGGCTGATTACGAGCTGAGACTTGCCAAGAATATCAAGAGCAAAAAAAGAGGAGACGGTTTCTATCAGCATGTAAATAGCAAGAGGAAGGGGAGACAGATAGTGGGACTGCTTAATAAGAAGGAATGGAATCCAGTGACTGATGTGAGGGAATAGGCAGAGATGCTAAATGACTATTTTGCCTCTGTGTTCTCCCCAAAGCAGGACGGGGGAGATCCGCATGGGAGATTAGATGAGACCGGGAACTGAGGGTCACAGATTAGAGTCCCCCCCATAGAAGTCGAGGGGCTCCTCAGGCCACTGGACATTATAAAGGTGCTGGGCCCTGACAGGTTACACCCAAGAGTACTTTGAGAGTTGGCAGGGGTTCTCACACCCAGTGGCCTCCATTTTTGAGGACTTGTGGAGACGGGTGAGGTTCCAGAGAACTGGAGGGTGGCGTCAGTGGTCCCAATTTTCAAAAAGGGTAGTAGAAAGGACATGGGGAATTACAGACCGGTTAGCCTTACATCCATTGTAGGAAAAACAATGGAAAGGCTCATAATAGCAAGAGATCTAATGATGCTAGACAGGGGATGGAGCCTGGTGGCCACACAACACAGCTTCTGCAATAACAGGTCCTTCCAGAAAAACCTTGTGGAATTCTATGACAAGGTTTCAAGGTGGCTAGATGGAAGGGACACAGTGGATGTGGTTTACCTGGATTTCAGCAAGGCCTTTTACAAAGTGCCACATGATATCCTGGTTGAGAAATTGGGGAGTTTTGGGATAGATCAATGCACTGTCCGATGGATTAGAGGGTAACCATTAGTTGGGAATCATCAGATGGTGCCAGTGACAAGAGGGGTCCCCAGGGCTCTGTCCTGGGACCGATCCTGTTTAGTCTTTTCATCAACGACATGGAAGAAGGGTGACCAGTCTGCTGATAAAATTCGCAGACAATACTAAAACCAGGGCATTGGCCACAACTGAGGAATAGGTCCTGAAGGATCAGGATAGGCTGTGGAAGTGGGCAGGGGACAATAGGATGGCATTCAATGTGGATAATTCTTGCACTTCAGGCATGGGAATGGATGTCATAAGTACAGATTAGGTGACAAGTGGCTGAAGAACAGCACTTGTGAAAGGGATCTCAGGATACTGGTCAACTGTAGGCTAAGCCTGTGTCAGCAATTTAACGTGGCGGTCAAGAGGGTGAATGCCACCATTGGTTGCATAGCCAGAAGCGTGGCTTCTAGATTGAGAGAGGTATTACTGCCACTCCATACATACAACTCTGTTGCGCCTGCAACTGGAGTACTGTATTTAGTTCTGTGCTCCACATCACTGGAAGGTTATGATCACGTTGGAATCGGTGCAGTGCAGGGCCACAAGAATGATGGCTGGATTGCAGGGAAAGCCATATGAGGTGAGACTGATGGAACTGGGTCTTCTCAGCCTGGAGAAGAGGAGACTCTGAGAGGATCTCTTGGTGACATATAAGTATGTTAGGGGGTGTCACATGGAGGTGGGTAGAGACCTGTTTTCCCTGTGGGGGAGGGCAGGACACATTCCAGTGGAGCAAAGCCCAGGGAACCAAGGTTCAATCTGGATGCCAGGAATTACTTCCTGACAGTTAGGACCCCAAGGATATGGAATCAGCTTCTATGGGAGGTAGTTGAAGCTGCATCAGTGAAGGTGTTCAAGGATAGGCTGGACATGCACATGGTAGGTATGTCATGAGCAGAGCCAGCTGGATCCGGGGCGGTCAGACTAGATGGCCCGGGGGACCCCTTCTGACTTGCTCTGTTTCTATGCTTTTCAGATGTTGCAGTGTCAAAGGCAATGGCAAAGACAATCAAGAAGTCAGGCATAGATGACTTCCCAATTGCCAAAAGCATAATTTCTATTGCTTATTTCTATACTGTTCCACAGTCAAAGCTCTCTTGTGGGCCCTGCTTTAAAGCAGCCTATAGAAAAAATATGGGTGCATTTGGCTCTTACATTTCTAACTACAAAACAAATTGTCCACTAAAACCATGCTAGGTTAGAAAGTAGGAAGAAGTGCCAGCCTGATTTTCAGTTTGGTCTTCTAAAATGCATATGGACATTTCTTACCTCATTATATGCTTTAGCCCATGTATTTGTCAGCTCATGCAAATCTACTTTACCAGATTTTACAGCTTCGAGGACTGCTTCTGCTTCTATATCATAAACCTCTATGGATTTCTCTTCAATGAATCTGCTAAGGGAGTCTTTCAAATCTGTGATATTGAAGGGGAAAATCTTTTATCAATAGAAATGTATATCATAGTTGCTATATAGTTCATTTTATACCAAGAGTAGATTAACATTTGTTTAATGGGTTATGGTTTTCTCAGAACCCATTAATTAACCAGACTGTTCAATTCTTGAGAATATTCAAACATTAAAACTCCTTTGCTTTTTTAAATAAATAAGGTATTAGTATAGAGCTAGGCAGTATATGATAAATAGAATATAGTTATCCTTCAGTGTTTAAACACATATGTATTGCTCTCATAGACAGAAAGGCTTTAAAACAACAAAAAATGAAGCACACTCTCTAATCAAATATGTTCTCAGAAACAGAGGATTGTTTGTTCCATTTTTCTAAGAGCAGATTAATGACAGCCCTCCATTTTTGTACATGCTACTGAAAAGCTGCCTACTTTACAAAAAATTCACATGAATCTAATAATTCATATCACAAATACCTACCATTTTCTATGAAGCATGGCAGGTTGTACAGAAGCATTAGATGCCCAAGCAAGTGGTTAGCATTTTCTTTCACTGGGAATTTCAATGGAACTCTAAGTATACAATGATGATTTCCAGCTCTGAATTCATAAAAAAATTCTTTCTCCAAACTGCAGATTTTTCCTTTGTTGCCTTTCATTTTAAAGGATTCTTGCATTCTAGCAAAATAAGAATTTTCTAATGTTATATTTTCACATGATGACACAGAAAAAGAAAACATGCCAGTAAAACAGAGGTGCATAACCTATGGGTCACATGCTGCTTCCCAATGCCTTGAAGCATCTTAATGCAGATGTGGCCTCCAAAAATGCTGGCCTATACAGTGGTACCTTGGCTCACGAACACCTCAGTTCACGACCAAATTGGGTCGCGAACAAAAATTTCAGAAAAATTTTGACTCAGGTCGCGAACTCCACATTGGGTGGCAGCCGCAATTGCAGCCATCTCCCCACACTCCAAGTGGGGTGATGGCTGCAATTGTGCTGGGGGCGGAGGGGGGGGGATGGCCAAGATCGCGCCCGTCTTTCCTGCAGGAGTGCGCCTGCAATTTCAACCATCTCACCCCCCACAAGCATGCCCACGTTTGGGTCCATCTCCTCCCCACCACCAGTGCGCCCGCGTCCACGTCTGTCTCCCCCACTCCAGCATGCAGGGATGATGGGCGTGTGCAGGGATGATGGGTGCAATTGCGGTTGTGCTGGGGGGGGGGGGGGGGGGGGTGGGGGTGCCTTTGTGGGGGGGGGGGGGGGAGATGGCCGCAATCTTTGTTTTTCTTTGTCACTTTGCTTTACAGTTTTCTGATTTAAAAAAAATTGTTACAGAACAGATTAACCTTATTTACAGTGAATCTTATGGGGAAATTTAACTTGGCTCATGGCCAATTTGAGTCACGACCAGAGTCCTGGAATGGATTAAGCTCGTGAGCCAAGGTACCATTGTAACTATAATAATCTTTTATGTTCATTATGCTGGCAAGGGCTGATGGATTTCTCTTGTTATATATTTTTTTAAAAGTGTATTTATTATGGCATTATCTACTTCATCAGATGTTTCAGGTAGTGCCCTCAGATGACAGATATAGAAATACAGATATATAGTGAATTGGCACTAAAATTCAAAAGGTAAAATTTGTGACAGTTCAGTTAAATGACACTTCACAATGAAATGATGGAATCATGGAACAGTAGAGTTGGAAGGGGTTGGAAAGCCATAGGGTCCCACCACCTGCTCAATGAACGACTCCAAGTTAAACCATCCCTCTTAGATGGCTGTCCAGTTGCATCTTGAATGCCTCCAGTGTGGGAGAAACCGCAACTTTCCAGAGTAATTGGTTCCATTGTCATACTGCCCTAACAGTCAGAAATGTTTCCTGATTTCTTTCTGTAACTTGAGCTCATTATTCCATGTCCTACACTCTAGAATGACCAAGAAGAAATCCTGTTCTTCCTCTTTGTGAGTCTTTGAAGTACTTGTAGAGAGCTATAATATTTACCCTCAATCTCCAGGCTAAACATACTCAATTCTTTGAATCTCTCCTCACAGGGCTTCGATTCCAGTCCCTGTTGCCCTCCCCTGAACCCTTTCCAGCTTCTCTGCACGCCCAATGTTTCTATAGCCCCATGGGTGAAGGTATTTAAGGATAGGCTGGACATGCACATGGTAGGCATGTCATGTGGAGCCAGTTAGAGCCAGGGGTCAGACTAGATGGCCCAGGAGACCCCTTCTGACTCACTCTGTTTCTATGTTTCTTAAAATGTGATGTCCTCTACAGACGCAAAACTCCAGATGAGGTCTAACCCAGTACTAAGGAAAAGGGGAACTAGTACTTCACATGATTTGTACATGATGCTTGTATTACTGCAACCTAAAATAGCATTTGTCCTTTTTGCAGCCACACCACATTGTTGACTCATATTCAGCCTGTGATCTACAACAATTCTGAGATCCTTCTCACTTGTAGTATTGTTGAGCCAACTATTCTCCATCTTGGTTCCTTTTTCCTAGGTGAAGAACTTGGCATTGGTTCCTGCTGAATTTCATTCTCTTGTTTTCAGCCAGGTGCTCCAATCTATCAGGATCACCTTGAATCTGCCTTCTGTCTTCCAGGGTATTAGCTATCCAACCCAGTTTGCCACCTGTAAATCTGAGAGGCATTCCCTGCACTTCCTTGTCCAAATCATTAATAAAAATGTTGAAGAGTACTGGGCCCAAGACTGAATCCTGCAGTACCCCACTTGTTACTTCTCCCCAGTCTGAGAAGGTGCCACTGATTAGCACTCTTTGAGTCCAATTCTGCAGCTACCTGATAGTTGTTCCATCAAGCCCACTTTTAGCTAATTTGCTAATCAGGATATCATAGATTCATAGAATAGTAGGTTTGGAAAGGCCACGTCGCACTTAATCAAAAGCTTTGCTGAAGTCAAGATATCTCCCAAATGCATGCTCTTTCCCAGTCAAAAAATGAAATCAGATTAGTCTGGCAGGATTTGTTCCTGAGAAATCAACTTTGGTTCCTAGTAATCACTGTATTGTTTTCAAGGTGTGTGCAGAATGACTGCTTTATAATCTGCTCCAGAACTTTGACAGGGATTGATGTCAGATTTACTGATAAATAGTTTCCAGGTTCTTCTTTTTTTCTTTCTTGAAGGCAGGGGCATCACGAGCCCTTCTTCAGTCATCTGGCACTTCCCCCATCCTCCATAATTTCTCAAAGACAAAATATAGAGGTTCTGAAAGTTTGTCCACCATCTCCTTTACGACTCTAGGATGGAGTTCATTGATCCATGGAGATTTCAAATCATTCAACCCAATTAGACGATCCTTGACCATATGCCTGTCAATCCTTCACCATATGCCTGTCAATCAACCATATGCAGTTCGCCATCCTTTTACTTCAGCTTGTACTTCTTCTTCATCAGGAAGGTCACAGATCTTCTGGGAGAAGACTGAATTAAAGGAGGAACTGAGCACTTCCACCTTTTGTCATCTGTTATCAGTTTGCTATCCACACTGAGTAGCTAAACCTTCATTTCTTTCCTTTGTCTTCTACTGCACACATATTTGAAGAAAATATGCTTGTTGCCTGTAGCATCCCTCGCTAGCCACAGTTGTCATTTCTAAGGATTTTGTGAAGCCACACGGGCTTCTTTTGTTGTCTTCTACCTTTTTCCTTGGTGAAATTGTATGTAATTGTGCCTTTAGAATTTTCTTTTTTCAGCATTCCCATCTATCTTACCATTAGAGTCACCCACCATGGGACTTTACTTATCAGTTGTTCTGAGTTCATTAATATTGGCTTTCCTAAAATCCAGGGTACATGTTAGGCTGCATTTGAGTTTTGTTTCCTTTAGAAACAAACATTCAAATATGGTATGGTCACTTTGCCCACAAGTTCCCATAACTGCCACTTTGTTCACTAGGTCTCACATAGATATTGGGGAAATTCAAGTCCCCTATGATGACTATGATGACTATTTTACAAATAGCTGAGGAAAGAAGGGAAGTGAAAGGCAAGGGAGAAAGAGAAAGATACAACCAATTGAATGCAGAATTCCAGAGAATAGCTAGAAGAGATAAGAATCCCTTCTTAAATGAACAGTGCAAAGAAACAGAAGAAAACAATAGAATAGGGAGAACCAGAGATCTCTTCACGAAAATTGGAGATATGAACGTTTCATGCAAAGATGGGCATGATAAAGGACCAAAATGGCAGGGACCTAACTCAGGCAGAAGAGATTAAGAAGAGGTGGCAAGATTACACAGAGGAACTGTACAAGAAAGAGCTTAATGTCCCTGATAACCATGATGGGGTGGTCGCTGACCTCGAGCCAGACATCCTGGGATGTGAAGTCAAATGGGCCTTAGGAAGTCTGAGCAACCACAAAGCCAGTGGAGGCGACAATATTCCAGTTGAGCTAATCAAAATCCTAAAAGACGATGCAGAAGAAGTGCTACACTCAATATGCCAACAAATTTGGAAAACTCAACAGTGCCCACAGGATTGGAAAAGGTCAGTTTACATTCCCATCCCAAAGAAGGGCAATGCCAAAGAATGTTCAAACTACCACACCATTGCACTCATTTCACATGCTAGCAAAGTTATGCTCAAAATCCTACAAGCTAGGCTCCAGCAGTATGTGGACTGAGAACTACCAGAAGTACAGGCAGGATTTCTAAGAGGGAGAGGAACTAGAGATCAAATTGCCAACATACACTGGATCATGGAGAAAGCTAGAGAGCTCCAGAAAAACATCTACTTCTGCTTCATTGACTATACTAAAGCCTTTGATTGTGTGGATCACAACAAATTGTGGCAAGTTCTTAAAGAGATGGGAGTACCAGACCATCTTATCTGTCTCTTGAGAAACCTCTATGCGGGTCAAGAAGCAACAGTGAGAACTGGACACGGAACCATTCATTGGTTCAAAATTGAGAAAGGAGTTCGGCAAGGCTGTATACTGTCGCCCTGCCTATTTAACTTATATGCAGAGCACATCATGAGAAAGGTGGGGCTAGATGAATCACCAGTTGGAATTAAGATTGCTGGGAAAAATATCAACAACCTCACATATGCAGATGATATCACTCTAATGGCAGAAAGTGAAGAGGAACTAAAGAGCCTCTTGATGCGGGTGAAAGAGGAGAGTGCAAAAGTTGGCTTGAAACTCAACATTAAGAAAACTAAGATCATGGCATCCGGCCCTCTCACTTCCTGGCAAACAGATGGGGAAGAAATGGAGGTAGTGACAGATTTTATTTTCCTGGGCTCCAAGATCACTGCAGACGGGGACTGCAGCCAAGAAATTAAAAGACGCTTGCTCCTGGGGAGGAAAGCTATGGCAAATCTAGACAGCATACTAAAAAGCAGAGGCATCACCCTGCCAACAAAAGTGCGTATAGTCAAGGCTATGGTTTTCCCAGTTGCAATGTATGGCTGTGAAAGTTGGACCATAAGGAAGGATGAGCGCAAAAGGATTGAGACCTTTGAATTGTGGTGCTGGAGGAGACTCCTGCGAGTCCCTTGGACCGCAAGGCGATCAAACCGGTCAGTCCTAGAGGAGATCAACCCTGACTGCTCTTTGGAAGGCCAGATAGTGAAAGATGAAACTCAAATACTTTTGGCCACCTAATGAGAAGGAATGACTCCCTGGAGAAGAGCCTAATGCTGGGAACAATAGATGGCAAAAGGAGGAGGGACGGCAGAGAATCAGTGGCTAGATGGAGTCACTGAAGCAGTTGGTGTGAGCTTAAGTGGACTCCGGGGATGGTGGAGGACAGAAAGGCCCGGAGGAATGTTGTCCATGGGGTCGCGATGGGTCGGACACGACTTCGCGACTAACAATAAGAACAATTAATCAACACTTATTTATTACCTTCGTTGTTTTCTTCGTATCCCCGTCCTCCACCTTTCCAAATTTGCTTCCGTTATTATTCCGCACCGCTTCCGGCCGCGGTAACTAGAAATGCTCCTCGCCGTATTTCTTTATAACGATAAAGCTATAGTTCCTCCAAATCTTAAGAGTTAGAGTTACACACGGTAACCCAACTTCCGATTCTTTCACATTTATTTCCTCGGAAGACTGGCTGACGAATTTAGCGTTTTTCCATGCTTGAGACTAGCCTCCATTTCCAGTGTTTCCGTTCAAAAAGAACGTAATTATCTTTTAATGCTTTTACTACGTTTTTGCCTCATGAGAAGAATGTATGTTTATTGATTTATTGACATATAAGGTGAAATGTTAGTATATGTTATTGAATGGGCGCACGTAGTTGAATTTTGGTCGGAAATAGACTTCAGGGAACTCACCTTAGCAGTCCTTTCAGATGTTGACTATACATAATGTACTTATTTTGCTTCATGTGGAATCAGTAAACCTTTTAATGCAAACTGGTAACCTGCGGGTTTTATATGGGTCGGTTCCATTTAAATGCAATATTTTTTTTCATACGCTAATTCAGGTTCTGTCGTGGTTAGAGATATGGGGAGAAATCACCTCTTTACTTTATCACTACGTTTCCTAACGGAATGGGCATACCCATTCCGTTGCTAATCATAGCTATGCTAATATTCTGGAATTCTCCATTAAAATTCGACTTCTTTTCCAGGAAAGTTAAAATAATGCTTTTCTTGTAAGCTTATAAATACCATATTCTTACCTGGAAATACGCTATTTTCCTTTATTTACGCATGTTCTAATACTCCCGGCTTTTTCGGTTGGTCTTATGAAGTCGACTCGCCCTTATGACGTCACTTACTCTCCCGCCCTTCAGCCGTGTTCCGCTTGCTTTGCTGGAGCGATAAATACTGTTTGAAAATGGAGCGGCAGCTGCGGAGGTCGGTGTTTTGTTTTATATCATTTATTTGTGTCTCAGTCAGAGCACGCGTGGTTAGGAATGTGCCTACGAACACATGCAGAGGTCCTTTCCTTCAAAAAAATTTAAAAACAGAGGCAGGAGCGAACTGCTTCTTTAAAAATCCAGCTGAGAGAAAAGGTCAAAATCATGAGTTCGTGCATTGCTTTCTAGAGAGATCTGCTTGAAGAAAGCTATTTTTCCCTATAATTTCAGGAGGAATACTTGTCCCATATAATTGCCTAGCCACTGAGATTTCATTTTATTCATTTTTTGATGTGAAATATTTGACGACAAGAATTAGAACCCTTTTTGTTGTGGCATTTCATCTTTGCAATGCCATTATATTCATTCACCAGGGGCTTGCCGATGTTATTTGTTGACAAATAACACTGCTATTCTTGTTAATAGTTATTGATGCTGTTGCTAGTGTTATCTTGAAAGCTAGTTTTAAATTTTTACGGTAGATGGTAAGCCGTTGTTTTCTTTATTTATTACAGCGATTTATTAAATATATGTGCTGCATCTCAGAAAGCAGTCTTGATGTGACTCATACACACACTATATAACAGGAAGAAAAATTAAAAGTTTATATCAATATAAACTAAACGCAGCACAACAATACAAATAAATGCCACAAAATAATCTAAATATATTGCAGCATAAAAGTGTGCATCTGTGATTGTTCAGTCTCCCCCTGCTCACAGCCTAGAATGAGCATTGTGAAAGCAACCCACCATAACTGGGCCATAACTAATATCCAGATGTCTGTGACTATAAGTACATCTAAGCAAAAGAAGGAGGGGATGACAGAGGATGAGGTGGCGAGATGGAGTCACTGAAGCAGTTGGCGTGAACTTGAGTGGACTCCAGGGGATGGTGGAGGACAGGAAGGCCTGGAGGAATGTTGTCCATGGGGTTGCGATGGGTTGGATACTACTTCGCGACTAACAACAACATTGCTGAGACTTAGCTGTCTGGGTGTCTTAAGTCTTTTGCAGGGCAGAAGGGTGGAGCAATTTTCACTTCCATGCTGTTCCTTCCTTTGACAGGATGCCCATAGTCTGAGGCTCATAATCCTCTGATTTTGGATGTTTATGGGCAGCCACATCAGACTGCACTTCCTGTCATAATATTTTAGAAGTCTCTGTTTTTATTAGTTTAGAGTTATTGGTGCTTTTTTTCAAGAGAAAAAGGTACCAGGACTCTTGGATTGTGTTTTCTTGGGGAAGAGTATTAAAATTGTGGACAAACACTTACATTAAGTACTCACCCATTTAGTAGGTTAGACAATGTCCCAAATCTGCATCATGTTTTCATTGGCTTTGTGTGGCTTCATTCTTTGTTTTGTGTAGCCATTTCAAAATATTATCGCGCAGTCATGATTGGATACATTTTATTGCATCAAGCTGAGAAAGCGGGATGGGGCAGTCCAGTGTGGATAAAAATCATTAAAAAATAGATTTTTAAAATTTAAATTGGATTTTTAAAAATGAAATGCTTTTTGAGGGAAATCTATTTTCCTATTTAAGATTTATTTATTTATTTATTAAAACATTTCTATGCCGCCCCTTGCCGAAGCCTCGGGGCGGCTCACAACACAAAATAAAATACAAAAATAACAATATAAAATTAACAATATAAAATAAATAACAATATAATAGTCCAAAGATTATTCAACATGAAATAAGGAGTAATTTTTAATTATGTTTCATGAAGATATATTCAAGCAAAGCTTAAAATTTTTGGTAAATGAATTCCTTTAATCCATTCACAATGTCATGTTCTTCCAGAGGTTTTTGTAAGATTATTGGGCAATTTTTCAATCTAAAAGGTATTATCAGAAATGCTTGGTTTTACAATTCTTAAAACTGTGAATTTGTGTCTGCAGAGATCACATGCCTCTTCTTCACAGCAAATATGTCATAAAATAAACATACAGTGGAGAAAAAGAGCTTAATCCCACTGTTCTTTTTCAAATCTGTGTACACAGAATCCCTTTACCTCTTAAGTACTAAAAACAAGTCAGAGTGCCTCTTTCAATTACAACTTACTTGGCCACTATACTAAATCTGTGGGCCTTCTTCCAGTGTCAACTCTAAAGGAGGCTCACATTGGCAACAATGAGGAGGACTTTCTCTGTGGTGGCTCCCATCTTTGGAACAACTTCCCCAATATGGCCTGCCTGATGCCAAGCTTGTCAAGTTGGGCATGAACTGGGCAGCCTTGAGAAGAGCAGACTGAGGGGGGACTATCCCTCTATGATATCCCTCTATAAATACCTCAAAAGCTTTCACAAAGTGGAAGTTCAAGATGTCTTCTTGTTGATACCAAAGTGTAGGAAACAGAATATTCAATCAAAGTTGTGACAGCCCAGGTTCAGGCTAGGTATCAGGAAAAGTTTCCTGACTGTCAGACCAATACAACAGAGAACCAGCTGCCTAGAGAGTTGGTGGTCTCTCCCACACTAGAGACATTCAGAAAGAAACTGGACGGCCATCTGTGTGGGATGGTATAAACTGGTGTCCTGCAACAGCAGGGGGTTGGACCCTTCCATTTCTACTATTCTATGATTCTATGATCTTTTCAGGACCAGCTTAAGATGGCCCTTTATGCCTAGTACTTTAAATGTTTACTTAAATACCCATGTGCATGAGAGGATTATCCATCCCAGGTGTTTTTAAAGGGCCATTCTTTTATGTTTGTTTTAGGTGCTTATATTTTTCATGTTTCTTTGTTTTTATATTTTTATTGCATTATCTTGTTTTTATAGATTGCTGCAACCCATCCAGAGAGCTTTGACTATCGGGTGGTATAAAAACGAAATAATGTCCAAAAATATTATTTTGAGATTATAACTATTATATACAAAATTTTATTTAAAACTTATTTTAATTGTTAAATTATTGAATTAATTAGGATTTTAACATTTTTAGCCGAGAATGCACCGGGGGTTTTTAAATGATTTTCTTTTAATAGTTATATTATCATTATTTATGTATGTGTTTATGTATTCTTTGTGAGCCACCCTGAGGCTTTGTTGCGATGGGGGCGGCATAGAAATATTTTAAATAAATAAAATCAATGTAGGTTAAAAAAAAAAAAACTAATGGTAGTTGATTCATCAGTGTTTGAAGAGATCCTGCTATGTTTCACAGTTCTTTACACCAAGTTATTTAGTATTTCATTAGCCTTGGTTCTAGCTGCATTTTGGCTCGCAGCTGCTGGAGGCCTGCTGGAGGTACACTGGCACCTTGCTTTGTGAGAAATGACTTTAAATCCAGACTTTATATCAAGGTTGTAGACCAGGCAGTAAAATAATAAATATATCTGACCAAAAACAGGTGCTGGGACTTAGTTCTGACAAGTAATTAACAGAAGAAAAGATACCAGAACTGGTAAGTTCCGCCAGAAAGAAAGGCTTGGTTAGGTTACCTTTAAGCGGGAAGCAGCTGTTTAGTTCTGTCACATTTTATAATATATATTTTCAGAAATAAATTTTTTAAAGTAGTAATGGTTAGATACACTGATATTTTTAATTCTGAAGAATTGTATTTTAAATGACATTTGGATACTAACTTCACATATGCATTATAGTTCTGTGAGTGGGTAAAAGGTGTTTAATGTCTTATTTTCTCAGGAATAAGACAGCAGTTGATTACTATGGATTTGACAGTGCAGGCAATGATGGTAAGTCATCCATGTCAAAAGAGGTCAAATTTTATTTTCAGAAAGCATTTTTCAGTAGTTATGCAATGTGCAATTCAGTGGCAAAGAAAGATGAAAGCTAGTTAAGGCTTAGTTTTGAATTAGTACAAATTCAAATTAGTACAAAGTTCAAATTAGTCCCCATCTTTATACTTTTCTTTTTTCACATTAAATGTTGAAAAAGACCCATGGTTGAAATGCTTATGCAGAGGCAACATGGCAAGTATTCAGACATGACTATAGACAAGATTTACTGCAAGTTTTTATATGCTGCCAAGTTGTCTTCAGCTTAAGGCAACCCTATGAGAGAGACGTGTGTGTGTGTGTGTGTGTATGTATGAAAGGCTTCCAAACTGTCCTGTTCATGACATCAAATTCAACGCTGCATCTTCCTTTATGGAGTCAATCTATCTCTTATTTGGTCTTCCTTTTCTTTTTCTGCCCTCAGCTGTCCCCAGCATAATTGTCTGTGTCAGATGACAGCTGCAGTTTTATCATTTTTGCCTCTAGGGGAAGTTCTGGCTTGATTTGATCTAGGACCTAGATTGTCTTTTTGTTGATTCAGGTAGTCACAAAGCTTTCCTCTAACACCATGTTTCAAATGCTTTGATTTACCTCCTGTCAACTGTCTTCATTTTCCAGCTTCATACCAATATACAGAGTGAATGATCTTGACCTTGGTTCCAAGTGAAACCTTCTTCCAATTCGCGATCTTTTCTAGTTCCTTCATTGCTGCCCTCCCAGGTCTCAGTCTTCTTCAAATTTCTTTGTTGCAGTCTTCCTTTCTGTTGATGACTGAGCCAAGGTATGTCAAATCTTTCACAATATTAATTTCTTCATTACCATATAGAAGGTTTCCAATCTGTGGACCATTGTTTTGTTTTCCATATTTGTTGGCATATTCTTGTTAGGCTATGAACTGATACATTCTCTGAAGTTTGGAATAGTTCTATTGGTTCCTATTTACTCTATGCGCACTGGTATTCTATCGTACTTTTAGAGCACCTTTGCTTTCTAATATTGCAGGTTCTTCCTCACAGGATTCCGCTTCAAAGGTGTCTGTCATCCTTCCATCTCTTCCATACAGTTTTTCTATATATTCTTTCCATCTTCTTTCTATTTTCTTCCACTCAGATAGTGTGTGTTCCTGTGTATATTTTAGCATTCCTAATCTAGGTTTGAATTTCCTTTGGATTTCTTGGATCTTCTGAAAGAGGTTTCTCATTTTTCCTCTTTTGCTGTTCTCTTTTATTTCTTTGCACTGGTCATTGTAATAGTTCTTTTGACTCTGTTTGATAGTCACTGAAAAGTTGCATTCAGGATTTTGACCCTATTGGTCCAAATCCAAGCAGGTATATACCAGCAAATATGGAAAACAAAACAGTGGCCCACAGACTGGAAATACTCTGTCGACATCCTAATTCCCAAGAAAGGAGATGCAAAAGAGTGCAGCAACAACAGGACCATTATACGTTGGCTATTGGAGCACACCAAAGAATTTCAGATTAGTGTCTGCTAGAAAACATCGAATGTAAGGATGTTTCAATGGAGGCCAAGGCCAAGATCATAGTATTTTATCTTGAACACACACGTTCTTGTCAGATTCCATTCTCTCTCTGAATGGTACAGGGAGGGCTTATCTGTTATGTTCCTTTCTCCAACCACTCCTGGCCACTCCGTTTTGCTGCGAAAAATACTCAGTCCTGGTCAGTCCCATAAAGCTTTTTGATTTTCCATTTTCTTCTGGGTTTTAGGCCTTCTGGAGCCCATTCACACTGTAACAGCTTTGCTTTCACAGCAGAGGGTCTTTCATAGATTGAAAATATCCAGAAAATATCCAGACGATCGTACCTCCCCTCCTAGCTCAAGTCAGAGCACTTTTAAAACAGTTGCCTTTTAAAACAAGTCATACATCAGTCAAATCAGCAACAACGACAAAGAATCTCTCAACTCACATAGGCAGCCACTCCTCAGAAAATGGCGGTGAAGAAAAGGAGAGATCGTCTCCTCCAACACACTGAAATCTCAGTCACGACCAGTTGGCAATGTCCATACTTAATTCCTTGAATAATAGCAGAGAATTCTCAAAATAAGATCTTATTACAAGTCAAACAAGGTATTGTAAAATCTCTGTTTCAAAGTCATTTCCAAGCATACAAACAAGAATGCCTTGAGAAAAAATCTCAGCCTCAGCTCCAAGCTGTCTGGAGGATGCGGTTATTCTTCCATTAAAAAGCCACAACATAAACACAAATACTCCAAGCTAGTATTCTCATGCCAAGGTCAGTTTATAGCATCCATGCTTCTCAGTTCTTATTCTGAAACAGAAACTTTAAACAGCCTGCATGTAAAACTTTGTTAATCATCCTTCTGCATGTAAAACTTTGTTAATCATCCTATTGTCCGTTCCAGAGTCCCTTTAAAGTTTGCAAACAGAAAATGCCTTAAAAATCCAAACTGTAGCAAATTAAAGTGTTGTTATTGTCCCTTGGCAAAAGCAGAAAAACAATACAAAGTAGAATAATCAAAAGAAAAAGAGAGAGAAGAAAAACAAAAGAGAAAGTACATGTGAGGGGTTGCGGACTCTGACCTCATTCGAGGCAATCTTATCTCGCTTTCTTGTTATTATCAAAACATTAGACAAAATCTTTATGCTCACCTGTCAATTAGACAGGCAAATAATACGTCTTAGGAGGCAATTTAATACCTTCATGAATGAGATAAAAAAGGAGAAGCATCAAGCCACTGCCATTCGAGTTGCCACTCCCCTGGAAGTCACTAGTACTTCATGTGATTTGGAAGTTATACTTTTATTAAAGCAAAATAGTATTTGCCCTTTTTTGCAGTCATATTGTTGATTCATATTCCACTTGTGATGTACAACTATTCTGAGATTCATCTCACTTGCAATATTGTTCAGCCAAGTATTCCCCATCTTGTAATGATACATTCCAGTAATAATCATATATTTATATCTTAAAAGCTAACAAAATCAACCAAGTATAATCAGTAATTATTTAAAAGCAGAATTATAAAGCAAATATGAACATTATAAAACCACTCTAAAAAGCTTTTACAAAATAAAGTGAATTGGTGTAGAGAAGGTAATGGGATTGGCAGCAATATGAGCCTCTTGGACAATGCATTCAAAAGAGAAGACTTCCAATTGTAGGTTCCTATCTGTTCAAAGTAGGGGCACCCAAAGAGGAGTCCCTGAAGAGGATCTCAACATGTAGGCAAATTTATAGGGAACCAAATAATTCTTGAGATCTTAAGGCAGAGGTGGGAAACCTTTCTGCCTGTGGGCCAAATTCAATTTCAGAGAAGCTATTGGGGAGCTGTATTCCACTGGTAGGTGCATTCAAAGGCAAAGCAGAAGGGCCAAAAGTAAAAGAAATATATTTTAGCTTAAACCTGTTACTACCAGTAACTAAGCCATATGAGTGGCATTTCAGCTTTTTAGAATGGGGGGAAATAATGTAAAAATTGGAAAAACACCAAATGATCAGTATTCAAGAGAAAGTGGGTGTGGCCAGGAGGAGGGAGTATGGCTCTCTTGGAAATGCCAGAAAGCTAAATTGAAATCAAGAGGACTAGATTTGGTCTGAGATTGTTTAAAGGCTTTAAAGGTCTGTACTCTGAATTTTGTTTGAAAGCAGGACAGAAACCAGTGTTTTATTACTGTCAAAGTATGTTCCATAAATCTAGCTGCAACATTTTGTGCCTACTGAAACTGTCAAACAGTTTGAAAGGCAGTCTTGCATTTAATGCATTACAGTAGTTCAAACTATTATTATTGTTAGTAGTAGTAGTAGTAGTAGTATTATTTCATTTCTATATTGCCCCACAACCAAAGCTCCCTGGCTGTGCATACATGTGCACACGCATGCTAGTATATGATTACCTGTTCCCAGGTTTTCTCGGTCCAGGGAAGCTGTAGCTGTCATATCAATTGTAGCTTGAGAAAGTGGTTCATGTTATTAAAGTCACAGGCCTTCAAAGACAATGCCGGACCTTAACAGAACTTCTGGACTGCTAACCAGATACTTAAGGGAGAGTGCGACTCTATTCAGAAAAAGGTCAATCACACTTGCCTAATTAGATGAATCACCCACCAGTAAACTTGCTTTCATTTCATCAACAATTCCAGGCACCAGTTCAGTACTCTTGCAACTTCACATGACTCTGAGCAATAGATAACAGAGTTGTGCATCAGAGTCCTAATGACATTGGACTCCAATTGTCGATTTTCTTACTCCTTTCCTTTCTTACGCTTTCATTTAGATGTTAACAATAATGTAATAACCATGGAGCAGAACAGAAGCTCTCCAATACCCCTCTAGATTGTGTGTGTTCATTTTTTTTTATAACAGCTTACCTGTTTGCTCTTCTACTAGTGTGTGTTTGACCTTGTAGTGTTCTAAATGTGTAAGCATACAAGATAGATAATAACACTCACATTTTTACTATCCAAAGCCTGCATTTTCAAACTCCATTTTATATTATGTTTGGATTTAAACATATTTTTCACTCCTTTAGAAACACAATTAACCTTATTCCCCTTGTGGCTTTGAACTCTGCTCTGCCAATCTCAGGGATGTCAGGGAAAGGAGGCTCTGGATAGCAGAAAGCCTTCCATTGTACACACCTTACCTGAGCTAAAGTTGGAAGGGAAGGAGGCCATTTTCTTTTTTCACATGTTACAGTGCGTGTTTCTGGTAATGAGGGAAAGGGCAATTTGAAGGATTATACTTTTCCCTGTAGTTGCCCTTGCTCTGCCTTGAGTATGACCATACCGCCTTTGTTTAATCCAAGTGGACTTTATTATAAGAACTAAAGTTATATAATATATTACTGTACTGTAGATTGATTTGTGACTTGTGGTGCAACTCTTGATGAATTTGCACCAAGATGAGGCAATTTATCTCTAACATGCGTCTGAAATAGAAGAAGATTTTGCAGATAGAACTTTACTTTCAAACAAAAAAATGAAGATAATGTGCTCAGAGTCAACAAAGGAGAAGATGGAGCAGCAACAGAAGGTCCCCCAAAAGGAGGTTCACTTACAGAAGTGTTCACAAAGTAAAAGGTATGCCCCCCCCCGCCCAAAAAAGGAAAGAATATAGTTTGTTTCTAGCCATAAGTCATCTTGAAAACACTATGGCCTTGAAAGATGGCTAAGAAATGGATTAAATTCCTAGTAGTCAAAGTAGCAATTATTTAAAATGTAATCTTACATGAATTTATACTTGCTTATTATTACTGCATTTATATCCCAACTTTGTTCCTCTTCCGAGGAACTCAAGGTAAACTATAAGGTTGTCATCCTCTCCATTTTCTCTTCACAATAACAGTTTTATGTGTTAAATTAGGCTGAGAGTTAGTGACTACCCTAGAGTCACCTAGAGAGCTTAATGGTTGAATGGGGACTAGAACACAGTTCTCCTGAGTTCCAGTTCACACTGGCTTAAAGTTTTCTGAGGGCAACTTACATTGCTAGTAGAGATAACATTCCCTCTTAACTGAATTTGAGAAATTGGGATGAAGAATCAACCAGGATCTAAAATTGGTTTCAGATTCTTGGTTTCTTGGGAGGTGGATTTGTATTGAGAATGCATTTCCCAAATTGGTTTTCATATTGTTTCAGAGTTGCCTTGGAAGACAGAATTTATCAGAGAAATTTGGAAATTGCCTTTGCATTGTCAGTAGATGAACCATTGGGAAGCATCCATGAAGAATCACAGGAACAAGGTGATCCTTAAAATTTCACAGTAAAGCACATGCTTTGTTTCTTGTTCTTGCACAGTTCTTGTGACTGTATTTTCTGGATTTAATAGTTTACGGTTTCTTAGTTTTGGATCGCAGTACTTCATGCAGTTAATAGCAGAAATAGAAGGATTTATAAAATAACCTAGTTTCCAACCAATATGAAAAGCTGTATATTTGAGGAATATTGATATTGAAAGAATATCACAGGAATTTGTACAAAGAGAAGTAGAAATTCTAAAATGTAGATGATTTAGCCAGAGTGTAAATCCTTAAAGTTACATTAATATAGATGGATGGATGGAAGTCAGGTAATGTATTGCCTTGGACAGAAATCTTTAGCTATTAATAGAATGGAGGCCACTTTGAATTCAGTTAGATTTACTGGCAAGTATACAGTCTTAGATTTGTGCTAATCACATAACAATGGTGGATGTGGGATAGGACCAGTACTTATACAAGATGGCTGTATACAAGCTCTGCACTATTGCCATGACATAATTAAAGCTGATGGGTTGCAGGTGGCGCAGTGGTTTAAACTGCTGTGCTGATGGGCTGGTTGATCGAAAGTTCACCGGTTCGGATCTGCACAATGGGGTGAGTTCCCGTTGCTCCGTCCCAGCTCCTGCCAACCTTGCAGTTCGAAAGCATATAAATGCAAGTAGATAAAAAGGTACCACTTCAGTGGGAAGTTAAACAGCGTTCCGTGCACTCCGGTGTTTAGTCATGCCGGCCACATGACCATGGAGACTGTCTATGGACAAACGCTGGCTCCCTTGGCTAGAAAATGGAGATGAGCACTGTCCCCTAGACATGACTGGACAGTATTGTCAAGGGGAAACCTTTACCTTTGCTTAATTAAAGCTAGGCAGCAGATGAAACAATTACATCACCAGAAAATCGTGGTACATCAAATGGTATATCTCAAGGACCTCCACAGTCCAAAAAGTAGCTTATCTTGCCACAAGAAACACTGTCCTAGATCTGAGCCTGGACAAAGAAGGAAATGAGGATAGCCCAAGTATGCAGGTCACCTAGCACAGCCAAAAAAGGAACAAAGGAATTGTGAACTATAGCATATCTTAAAGAGGAGTGGAGAAAAGCATATGTCCAAATGAGATGAGTGCTAGATATGATACTATAGCAAGTAAAGCCATACAAATTGGCTTGTTCAGCCAGAGGACAATTGAAAAGCTACTAACAACTAACAAGGAATTATAGCAGGGGTAACTTTTCCACCAGGGGGCCAGTTGAAAGCTGCCAGTGCTGGGCGTGGGCCAGAAAGGTGGTGGCGGGGGTGGTGCGTGCGGGAGCGCACACTGAGGCGGGGGCGGAGCATGCAGCAAGGTGAGGCAAGGGCGGGTGTGCACAGCAAGGGGAGGTGCGGATGGGCACACGTCACGAGGCGGGTGCACGGGGCAGCAGCTTGCTCGCTTGGAGATCATTTTCCCTGACTGAGCAAACCACTGCCTCCCCGCGCGCGGGGTTAGGTGGGTGGCAGCATGTGTGGGTGCAGGCGGGTCCAAATGGGCATGGCAGGCCGGATCTGGCCGCCGGGCCGTAGTTTGAGGACCCATGAATTACAGCAACTTTCCCTGGAAAATTAACAGCTGCCAACCCAAAATATGGTTTAAAGGCACTAGAATAATTGGTGGAACGGTGTGATTCAGCAAGTTTTTAATCATCTGGCTGTCTGAAATCCTACTACAACTTAAACTGACCAGGGTGAACTTGGAAAGAACCATAGAGCAGCAGGTGCACTTTCAGTAGATGGATCTAAAACAAAGGAAACTGTGGCCTGTTTCCTAAATCTCGAGGCTATTTGCCTAGCACCCTCAATGTCTATAAGTTCCTCCATGATCAGCAAGAAATAGCAGACTTGAAAGATCTAAGTCAACAACTTGTCAGCTTGATTTGTAAATGCATGACTACAGAAGGCATTCTAGGAAATTCACTGTTACATGTGATTAACATGTTTGCAGATAATGGCTTGCTATTCTGTTGTTAAATCTAAATGAGCCTATGGAAGTAACAACATACAGTGATACCTTGGTTCACGAATTTAATCTGTTGCACTACTGGTCGCAACCCGAATTGGTCGTGAACCAAGTCAAATTTGTCCATAAGGTTCAATGTAAATAAGGTTAACCCATTCTGTAATTTTATCACAAACATTTGAAACAAAGTAACAAAGAACAACAAAGTAACAACTTTGCCATCTTGTACTCAGAGACCAGATCAGTCACACGAATACCACACTCATGCTTTTCTACAATTTCCTTCTTCAACTCAGTGGTTGTTTTCTTCAAACCTCCTTCTTACCATTTTTGCCCTGCACAGTCTTGTCACCTTCATTACTGCTCTGCACATTCTTTTTATAACCATACTTGCTTTGCACTTTCTTTGGAGCCATTATTCAATATTATTGAATATATTATTATTGCATAATGCTTCACAGCAAGCGACTACAGGTCTGTCTGCAACCGCGAGCAGGGAAGATGGGCATGATTGCAATCGTGCTTGTGCAGGGAAGGTGGCCGCGATCATGGTCGTCACCCAATGCGGAGCTTGTGAATGGAGGCAAAATTTTTCTGAAATGTTTGTTCGTGAACCAATTTGGTTGTGAACTGAGGCGTTCGTGAACCAAGGTACCACTGTAATTAGAGAAAAGCAGGGATGCAGGTCAACTTTAAAAAGACATATGCCTTCTCTATAAATTTGGATAGCAAGCAAGGGTTTTTTTGGAAAACAATTCAGGAATAATTTTCTAGAGCTGAAATATCTAGGTTAAGTTAACTCTTTAACAGGTTATCTTAACAGATTGTCAAAATTAATAAAGTTAAATTATGACTCAATTAATAATGAAACCTAAGATAAATTGAAAGTGTGGGTCAAATTGAATTTGAAATGTATTAAAAAAAGATAGTGGCAGTTATAATGAAACTTTTGCACAAAGTGACCTTTTTATTTCAATCAGTTTCAATCACCTTCCTGTTAAAAAATGGCTATCTTAATTTGAAAATTATGTCTTCATTCTTTATATCCAGAAACTTAGATTGTGCAGGAAAGGCTCATCCAAAGGGCATAAAGGAAGACTGGGAATCCTCATTTTATTTAGATGACACAGTGCATTTCAGCTGAAGCAAGTGATGTATATCATCTATAATGATTAAAATAAAATGTATATTAACATGGGGGTACCTTGTTCTCAGAGAGAAATATTGTACCTTTTTATGTAAAATCCGAAATGCAACAAGTCTTTCTGGCTAGCACATATTTATTTATTATTTATTTATTACATTTCTATACCTCCCAATAGCCTGAAGGCTGAGCTAGAGCAAAAGCTTATTGACCTCATCCTTTTCTGGGACTGTTCACTTGTTCATTTGTTACTCTGAAGTGATGACAAATTTCAACAGTTTGAATCCTAAGAGGATAAGGGATTATATAGATTTGTGCACCTGTTTAACTTTTGCTACCCGAAACAAAGGAAACAGCTTGAGGAACAATTAGTTCCTCAAGAACATCTAAATTTTTTGGAACATCTAGATTTTGCATAATTTCCTGCCTCACTGTATAGTTATAGATTTTTTGCCCATTAAATGTGCAAAAGAATTTGATAATTTTAGCGATATCCAAAATAAAGTGTCTGGCATCTAGTCTTTCTCAAATGTATTTATTTTTATTTTATTTCATTCAACTTTTATTTCATTCAATTTACAGATAAAAACAGTAAAATTAATAGGACATAACCATCTCACATAATAAAATTATAAAACCACTCACTGCATAACAAAATACTACCAATATTAACAACCAAAATCAGATAAGTAACCAATAGCAAATTATAAATTAAATAAACTTAAATTAATCAAAATATTGTTTGAACAAAAAGTGCTTAACTGGCGTCTAAAGGAAAACAATATTGATGCCAGCTGTGTGTCCTGTGAGAACTAATCCCAAACTCTGGGTGCTACTGCCAAAAGTGCTCTCTTCCTAGTATTGGATCTCACTGGGGATGGCGGGGGCAGTATTTGGAGAAGGTCTTCAGAGGAGGATCTAAGTGGGCAGGTAGAGAGGTGCTCCCTCAGGTACCCTGGTTCCAAACCATTTAGGGCTTTATATGTCAAAGACAACACTTTGAATTGGGCCAGGCCCAGACTGGAACAGGGAGCCATTGCAGCTCATGTGTTCTTGCTGGCCAGTCCTCGTAAGCAGCCATGCTGCCCTGTTCTGTATTAATTGTAGTGTCCAGACCATTTTCAAATGTAGCCCTACATAGAGTGCATTACAATATTCCAGGCAAGAGGTTACTAGCACATGTATCACTGTGTCAAGGTTCCATTCATTCAAGTAGGAATGTAGCTGAAAGAGCAGAAGCTGAAGAAAGGCACTCTCAGCCGTTGCCACCAAGCCCACATGAGAAACCTGGAAGAGCTCAGGATCCAAGAGCTCCCCAAAGCTATGAACCTTATCCTTTAGGGAGAATGCAACCCTGTCCAGTGTAGGTTGAAAATTTCCTAGTTGGAGTGTGGGGGTGCCTACCAACACAGCCTCCATCTTTGCTGGATTCAGCTTCAGTTTATTGGCCCTCATCTAGCCCAGTACCAAGTTCAGGACAGCCATCATCACGGCTGGATCAGATGAAAAAGTGAGGTAGAGCTGAGTGTCATCAGCATACTGATGACAGTTCAGCCCACACCTCCAGTTGACCTCACCTAGCAGTTTCATGTAGATGTTTAAAAGCATAGGAGATAGAATAGAACCCTGCAGAACTCCCTGATGCAATTGCCATGGTGCAGAGCAACAGTTTCCCAGCTTCACCATCTGGAACCCGTCAGCTGAGTAGGAGTGGAACCACTGCAATGCAATACTCACTCCCTGCTCCCAACCCAGCCAACCATTCCAGAAAGTTATCATGGTTGGTGGTATCAGCAGCCACTCAGAGGTCCAGAAGAATCAACAGGGTTGCACTCCCTAGTCTCTCTCCCCACAAGGTAGTCTCTGTCCCAAACCCAGGCCAAAAATCCATTTAAAATGGATCTAGATAATTTGTTTTCTCCAAAAGTGCCTGGAGCTGCCAGCCCACTACCTGCCCAATCATCTTGCCTAGAAAGTGGATATTGGCTATTGGTCTAAAATTGTTCGCATCACCCGTCCAGGCTTCTTTATGAGAGATGTTTAAAGCTGCCTTTAAAGGGGCCAGCACCACTCCCTCTCTCAAGAAGGCATTGACAGCCTCCTGGACTCAGGTGCAAACCCCCTAGATTTCCCAATAAGCCATAATGGGCAGGGGTCAAGTGGGCAAGTAGTGGGCCAGACTTGTCAAAAGCACCACATCTACACCCTCAGGCTTCAGTAACTGAAATTGATCCAAGAAAACAGGATTAGATGGTGCTCTGGACACCTCTGCCAATGGAACTGGAACAACTGTGGTGTCCAAGTTGGAGCAGGTCTGAGTCATTTTGTATTCAGAGTGTTGTACACATTCATCACAGTGGGCTGTCGAGGGTTCAATGATATCTCTTTTGGAACAGAGTGAAGAAGACCCCAAACCACCTAGAACAGCTCCACTGGATGGCACTCCAAGGACACGATGCAGGTGGAATAAAGGTGTCTCTTAGTCACCTTCAATGCCACAGAATAGGCTCAATAATGAACACTAAGCTGTGTTCGGTTGGATTTGGCCTAAGTTTTCCTTTACCTGAGCTCTAGGCATCTCCCCTCCTACTTGTAGTCCAAGTAGATGGAATGTTAGTAGTATGGGAAAGAGACATAAACTGTACAGTTAGTCTAGAGCAGTGATGGCGAACCTTTTAGAGACTGAGTGCCGAAACTGCAACTCAGAACCCATTTATTTATCACAAAGTGCCAACACTGCAATAAAACCTGAATATTGAGGTTTTAGTTTAGAAAAAACAACTCATATATTAACATCTTTTGTCTTAAAAGAAAAACTCAATAACAGAGCTTTCAATGATACAAACAGCTTTTTATTGAAATGCTTTTGCACAATTAATGTGATATTTGCTGTTGTATGCATGCTGATAATTTGTCAAACCTTGGCTCATACTTGGTTAGTTTGAGTGCAACACATGCAGCACTGTTTCTTGTATCAGATTTGTTATTATTCAAAGATGAAAACAGCTGCTCACAAGCATAAGATGATCCAAACAAAGTAATCCATGGCAGCTCAGTGACTGGCCATGCGAAAGCTCCAGGTGTTGCGGCTAATGAGTGACATGGTTGCATGGAGCCCTTAATCTTTCCAAATATGCACATGGCTGCTGGGATGATTGCGTGCTGACAGAGAGGGCTCTGCGTGCCCCTTCGTGCATGTGTGCTATAGGTTCGCCATCACTGGTCTAGAGCATTGTTACAATTAATCTACTGGTGCTGTGTTCTAAAGTATCCATGAAATTGATAATTGATACGATAAGGTGGAAAGTTTTTAACAAGATAAGGATGTGTTTGATGCAGCTGCCACTGAGCTATATTGACCACATCCTGCACCCAAGCTGTTGGCATTATAGGAAGGCCAAGGACACCTATGTATGCATGGGAGAATGCCTACCAATTCAGAGGCTTAGGGTTCAGGCCTTCACTTCAGCTGAGATAAAGACCCATCTGCTGCAGTGAGCAAAACAATTAAAACATAGAGAACTTCTAGATCTTTTCTGGATAGTGACCTGGTTGCAGTGATCTGGAAGTCCGTCAAATAACCCTCTTTTACCAGAGAGAAACAAATAAATGGGCTCTTCACTTTGATGGAGAAGCTCATGAAGATACAGGCATGGACTAGTCAAGCAAAAATAAATAGCTTTTCTGAAATGTATTATCTGTTCATCAAATTCATTGCTGGAAATAGTATATCAGAGCCTTCAGTTTCTCATGGAAGATTGAAAACCAGTGTGCTATAGTGGCTAAAGTGTTGGACAGTGACTGGGGGAGACTGGATTCTAGTCCTGACTGGGCCATGAAGCTCACTGGATGCCTGTCAGCCTAATCTACATCACATTGTTGTTAGGATGAAATGGAGAGAAGGAAGTTCATGCATGTTGCCTTGGAAAGGTTAGATATAAATGTAAGATATGAATGTACAAATGCATATATAAGAAACTTACTAGGCTACAACTGTATGCTTGTAACCCCATCTATATCAAGTATTAATACTGAAATATTTATTTATATTCGTTTGATTTGTTTAAAAGCCATCCGTTAACATCATGCTATACATCCTGTATATTAAGTTCAAGGTTCAAGTGCCATTGTGGAAGATAGTGCAAATGAATGTAATAGAAATGTAGGAACTTTCAGACAAGCATCAATACCAAGCAGAAGTTACAGATCAAAGAAAAAGATAATGGAGTCAGTGCCAACAAGTACAAGCTGGGGCCTGCTTCAGATGTTTCATGCCTCTTTTCTCCATAAGATGAGTTTTAAGCTTTTGCATGTTCTAATCTAAACTTTTAAGTTTTAAAAGATGTTCTAAGTTTTTACAACTAGTAAATTTATTTCTAAAATGTGTTAGTATAAGTTAATAAGCAAAGAGCCAACTGCAGGAATAGTATTTTAGAATAAATGAAGAGTTTACCTTTTACTTTGGCCCATAGGATCGCTTATAGTCAGACATGACTGAACAGCTGAATAACAACCTTTTAACCTTCTTCTAAAGTCTGGCTTCTGTTGTTTGTTGCTGCTGTATTTTCTCCTATTGGCAGAATTTGTTCATCTTTTCAAAGGGCATTTTAAAACAAATCTCACTGTAGCTTTGGCATATGACTGTTCTATTTATTTTAACATATTTATATTATAAACTTTTGACAAAAGAAAAAAGGTGTAGTTAAGTAGATTTGAATGGATATATTTCAGTGTGCATGTGCACATGTGTAGAAATACTTAAGAATAATACATTTATTTCAGTAAAAGCAGACCAGATACTGAGATAAGCCTCCATTCACAGGTGGGTATACTGCCCATTCAAATTGCATTATAAGAGGTAAGTATTTATTTTCTAATGTTATAATATCAGTAATTACAATAGGACACAGAAAATCCATTTGCTTTGAATATGTGTTAACTTCCAGGAAGCAAGTATTTAAAAGAGTGGGTATTTACTTTCAGGAAGTAAACATTATGGAATGTTCCATTACAATATTGATTCCAATGCAATGACATTCTCCCAAAAATGAACATCTGTGGGACATTGCTAAAACATACTCCTGAGTAGTTGTTGTCCCAGCTCCAACTCAAAAAAAGCACTCAAGACCTCACAGTGGACTTAATCTACCCTTGCAGCAAACATAATTCTTTCTGACTGGGTTCCAAAGATGGATGACAATTTTTAGAAGCAGTGGGGGACGGCAGGAGGGGAAGAGTGACGCATTGCTGTCCTTTGAAGGTAATCCTGTTGGTCTCTCAACCACTCCTGATATTGAGGAAAGGAAAAACATTTAGATGTTTCAGATAAACAATTTAAATGTTTCTGAGGGGAAAGGAGTCATGGGGGCAATCCTTGTACTTCCAGCCTTTCACTGGATGCCCATAATCCTTTGAATTTGGAGCATTACAAGCATCCACATGGGATGGCACCCTTAAAGAAGTATGAACTGTGTTGTACCTTTTAAGTATTACCTGAAACAAGCCCTTATTAAATAGATGTTGAGAGATGAAATGTTTTTGCAGAACACAGTGCAGCTTGTTATATTGTAAAACAATAACTTTTAAAACATACTACTGATGTCCAGTACCTGTCTGTGCCCACTTCACTGCTGACCTTCATACCATCTCTTGTTTTAGCTGATGTAACAGAGGATGATTCCAGCTTCAGTGAAAAAGATTATGAGGAATTTCTTGTAAAGAAGAAAAGTAAAGATAATAGGAAAGAAGGAAGGAAGCATGTCAGTACCAAAAAAACAACAGAAAAGCCTTTCAAATCAAAAAGGAATGTAGTGGGTAAGTAGATTCAGTCCTTTCCTGAATGACAAACATTTTGCATCTGGTTTTGAAAGAGTTCTATCAGTCTGATACCTGTAATAGTACTTGCACAGTTATTTTAAAGTCTGTTTTATATTGTATCAAGAAATAGCTTTAGACATTCCTTATTTTAAAATCTGGGATTTGCTTCTGAGAGGCAAGGGACAATTAATTTCTCTAATTTTAATATTGGCAGAGGTATTGAATATATTTTGATGACAGCTATATTGCGTTAAATTCTAAGGAAGTCATTTACGCATTCCTAAGTGCTATGGAACAAATGGAACTTAGGTGAACCAGTGCTTTTTTTGTCATAGAACACACCAGAACAGAGTTCCGGCACCTTTTTTCAACAGATTTTCCAAGTTTTAAAAGTAACTTTTGAAAATTTGATGTTTGGTCCACGTGGATTTGAAGCGTAGCAGGTCGGCGGCAAAATCATTAAAACGGTGCATGCAGGCTGCTTGTATGTCAAATCCGATGCATGCGTACTTCATCCGCGCTGGTTGTGATGGCGCTGGTTGGCTTGTGATTAGTTGTGTGGTCGTGTGCTGAGTGCTTACTGCAGGCAGCGACTGTTACGTTTCGTTACACAACTGTTGTGTGTGGGTGTGTGTACAGTGATTGACTACTGTGCGAAAGGTAAATAATTTCATGAGTTCCAGCACCCTTTTTCTTACAAAAACACTGATGTGAACCATTTATACCTAGTTCAGTGGAGCTAAGATCTGAATCCCTACTGAAAATTTTAAGCATGGAGATTTGCTGGAATAAAATTAATTTCTTTGTATTTTGGAGGAAATGTCAGAGGAATATTTTGGTTTTGCTCTAGTTGTCAAATCCATCTGCTAGTTTTAAAAATGGATTCCTGCATTTCTTAAATATAGAATCAATTTGATATCATCCTCCCATTATTAGAGGTTTTTTCCCCATATTTTTCTGTCTTTCAATCATTTGACTAGTTCAAGCAAAATCTCAGATGGTTTTACAGAATGGATCAAATTCTTCAGAACCAATCAGAAAACCTTCAAAAACATCAGACACTTCAGAGACCAAGAAGCCCAACTGGATACCACCTGGTATATTCCTTATTTCTACTGTACTTCCTCAGGCCACACAGACCTATTTTACTTGTTTTGAGAATTAGCTACTCAGGAACCATGTATGGATGACTTGTGGGGCAGTAGGATTAATTCGGTGTTAAGCGAGTCAATTCCCTATGCAACTTGTGACTTTGTTTCTCCTGGACAACAGCAAACTTGTTATCTGTCTGGTTGGGTTAGCCAGAAACTAGTACAATTTGTTCTAGTATGTAACTTAAATGTTGTGAACCGCCCAGAGAGCCTCAGCTATGGATGGTATAGAAATGTAATGTTGTAGTAAGACTAATAACAGTGATGATGATCTTTGTAAACCTGGTCCTTTGTCCAGGTCATGTAGGATCTCAGTAAAATTTCCAGGAAGGAAAATGGGTGACTTTTGGAAATTAATACAGAAAATGAGTTTTACCAGTTGGTAATAAGATATACACAGTCAAATTTCTGAATGTGTCAGTGGGCATTGCTACTGCATCTCAGCAGGAAGAGAGAGAGAAGACAGACAGATGAGAAAGAAAGAAGAGAATAAGATCAGATGGGGAAACAAGGGTGTTTAGCCTTTATGGCAGGGTCCTCAAACTTTGTAAACAGGGGGCCAGCTCAATGTCCCTCAGACTGTTGGGGGGCCAGATTATAGTTTGAAAAATTATAATTAAAATTAATTAAAACTTAATTAAAATTAAAATTAGTTAAAACTTAATTAAAATTAATTAATTTTTTTTTAAATTAAAAATGTTTGCTCTGCTCGCTCGGGCTGCAGCAGAAGCCCAAGGTGACACCGCCCCACCTGCCAAAAGGGAGGGCACGACATGAGGGGGAGCCATGAGGACGCGCTCACCTCGGTTGAGGCCTTCCCAGCTCCTTGCTGCCACCCTGCTTCCGAGACGGAGGTAGGCCCCCTTGCAGGTGCTTGCCCAGCTACAGGAGGGGGAGTGGGAGCAGGAGGCCAGAGAGGCAAGCGCGGGGCGGCTTCCCTGGCCGGGAGAGGGCAGCAAGGAGGGAGGTAAGGGCTTCTTTCCAAGGCTGTGGCTCACATATTTAAAAATAGATTTAAAAAGTTATATTTTTCTTACCTTCAATCCTTTTTAGTGTCTTCATCTCTCTCTCTCTCTCTCTCTCTCTCTCTCTCTCTCTCTCTTCTGCCCTCCTCTCTTCTGTTTCTCGCACTTCTTATTCCCGCTCTGTATATGCATGCAATGGGGTGCGGGGGGGAGAGCCAGCACACACGCACTTGAGCTGTTACAATTTGGTGCTTGTGCCGGCTCTCTGCTCAGTTTCAAAGAATGCCTGTGCTGACTCAGAGTTTTTGGACTCGCTCAGAGATCATTTTCTCTGAGTGAGTCCAAAAGCTCTGAGGCGGGCCGGATAAATGATCATGGTGGGCCGGATCTGGCCCACGGGCTGTAGTTTGAGGACCTATGCTTAATGGAGTCTCCTGAATTAGACAGAAAAAGAGAGAGGGCGTGAATGCTCAGTGTCAGAATAAATCCAAATAAAAGGGATACCAGGTGTTCACAGGCTGAGGTAGAGTTTTGGCACAGGTTTGTGGAATGCAGAAGTGCAAATCTTTGTCCTTGCTTAGGGATTTTTCAAAATGGGATTTCTGTATTTAGCTTGATCATGGATCAGCAGTCACATTCCATTTCCCAGAGCCATCAGAAAATGCAGGTTCTGAAACTATCCCACAGAAATAATTTATACAGGACTCAGATATCAGGAATATCTTTTTATCTTGTATTTTGCAATCTCATGCAATTTTTGTGAATATAGAATAAGGTAAGAATATATAGGCCACATACAAAAATACTAAGTTTTTGTTATAAGAAATCACATTAAAAAAATTACTAGAAATTGTGCCAGGAATGTGCCTTTTAAAAATAAACATAAAAATAAAATAAAATAAAATAAAATAAAATAAAATAGGAAGTATCTGAATTGCAACAAGATGAGTAGAAAAGTCTAGATGAGGATAGGTGTGTTTACCCTGAAATCTTTCCCCTCACTTTTATATTGTTTTAATGAGCTGCACACTTAAATTTACTTCATAACCTTCCCAGCCCTGCTGCTCAACTAATTTCCTTAAGTTCTTCAACAAGATGCTTTAATTTTAAGTTCTATTTGCATTCACTTTCACAGCTTCTGTTGGCTTGGACTAACTTAACCCTGAAGTGTTTTTCAATTCATTTCTGTCATAAAAGCAGAACAATAGTACAAGCTCCTTGAATCTCCTTATCTAAAGCATATGTTACTTTTCCTGACTTTTAGGTGGGAAATGGTTCACCCTTGTTTTTCTTATGTCATCTTAAAAATAAGAGGCTCAGATGTCATTGAAAGATATAGCATGCCCAATTGAATGTCTATTAGAATCAAAGTGATTCAAACTTAATCTAAGAACATGTTTTAATATTTCAAATGCTCCTTTGTTAGAGCTATAGAGATCAGTGAATATTTCTAGGCTAGACTATTATATAGGATGATGTAGGAGTCATGCAGGTGTTCCTGACAGATCCATGGTGTCTTCCATTGAATGCTTCATCAGAGAAAAGGTGCCTGTAGATCAAGTGCTTTATAAACTTCTAAAGTATTGATACTGGACTAAATGGTCTAAAATTCTCAGGATATTCCTCTTTGAGGACAGGGACTTTTGTCTTCCTCTATTCCTTTGGTATTTCACTCCAGGATTTCTTGAAGAGAATAGATAGAGGTTCTTTGAGTCCATCCATTATTTCTTTCAGCACACTAGAAATTCATCTAGTGCTGCAGACTTGAACTCTGTGAAGGTGCTGACCATCTTTGTCTTAACCTCAAGCTGCACCCATAGCACTTCCACCTTTTTGTCGTATAGAAACATAGAGACAGAGTGAGTCAGAAGGGGTCTCCCTGGCCATCTAGTCTGACACCCAGCTCTAGCCGGCTCCGCTCACAACATGCCTACCATGTGCATGTCTAACCTATTCTTGGACACCCTCACCAATGGGTCTTCAACCACCTCCCGTGGAAGGCCATTGCATACATTTTGGGTCCTATAAATGCAAGGTCTTGCACTTGGGGCATAGGAATGGGTGGCATAAGTACAGGTTAGGGGACAAGTGGCTGGAGAGCAGCACTTGTGAAAGGGACCTGGGGGTGCTGGTTGACTGCAGGCTAAACACGAGTCAGCAGTGTGATGCAGTGGTCAAGAGGGCGAACGCCACCCTTGGTTGAATAGCCAGAAGTGTGGCTTTTAGATCGAGAGAGGTATTACTAGCACTCTACATGACTCTGGTGCACCTGCAACTGGAGTATTGTGTTCAGTTTTGGGCCCCTCATTACAGGAAGGATATAGCTAGGTTAGAGTCAGTGCAGCGTAGGGCCACAAGGTTGGTGGCCAGTCTGCAGGGGATGCCGTATGAGGCGAGGCTGAGGGAACTGGGTCTCTTCAGCCTGGAGAGGAGGAGACTCGGAGAGGATCTGTTGGCGACATACAGGTACATGAGAGGAAGTCACATGGAGGTGGGTAGAGACCTGTTCTACCCTGCAGAGGAAGGCAGGACGCGCTCCAACGGAGTGATCACTCGCATCCAGAGCTCCCCTAATCTGTACTTCATCTATCAGCTCCTCTGTATTGTTCAAGACCAAGTCAGGGATGTTTCCCCCGCCCCTTGTCGCCTCTCGGACCCTCTGTGTGAAAAACCCTTCCTCTATAGCTTCTAGGAAGCGACGTGACCTGGCTGTCACCGCTGAGTGAGTCTCCCAAGTAATATCCGGGAGCTTGAAATCTCCCATAATTACTGTGTCTCTCCCCCGAGATATCCTTAGAATCTGGTCTGCCAGGCCATCATCCAGAGTCTCAAGTTGACCTGGAGGGCCATAACATACCCCCACTGTCAGGTCTCTTTCCCTGTCAAAACCCCTAAGTTTCACCCAGACTGCCTCTACCGAATCCCCATCTGTGCTGCGTTCTATCTCACTGCATCCTATCCCTGCCCTGACATATAAAGGCACACCCCCACTCCTCTTTCCCTTCCTGTCCTTTCTAAAACGGTGATACTCCTCTGTGTTCACATTCTAGACTTGCCTTTCATCTCACCAAGTTTCTGTGATCCCCACCAGGTCATACCCTCCTATTCCCAGGAGAGCTTCAAGCTCTTCCTGCTTATTACCCATGCTCCTAGCATTGGTGTACATGCACCTCAACTCCTTCCCACCCCTTCCTTTCCTTGGAGTTCCCAGCCTCCTCCTTCCTCCCTTCCTCTCTTATATCTGGTCAGGAAGTGCTGACCCCGAGGGTATGGAATGGGCTTCCATGGGAGGTGGTTGTGGCCCCATTGGTGAGGGTGTTCAAAGATAGGCTAGACATACACATGGTGGGCATGTTGTGAGTGGAGCCGGCTGGAGCCGGGGGTCAGACTAGATGGCTTGGGAGACTCCTTCTAACTCGCTCTGTTTCTATGTTTCAATCTGTCAGGAAGTACTTCCTGTCATCCAAACTGAACCTAGGTTCCCTTAGATTTGCTCTATTGGAACATGTCCTGCTCTCCTCTGCAGGGGAGAACAGGTTTCTACATATACCACACATGACAGATTCTCTTTTATAGAAGACTGTGCCAAAATATAAGTTGAACATTTTTGCTTTTTCTTTCACCTGTCAGCATTTGGCAATTTTTGCTGAGCAACTGGTCTATTATTTTTGTTCTACTTTTGCTTTAAAAATAGCTAATGAAACACTTTTGGTTATTTGTAGCATCCTTCATCAACCCCAGTGCATGCTGAGCTTTAGCCTTTCTGACTCAGTCTCTGCAATTCTGGGCTAATCTGCCTGTCCATTTCCTAAGTTATCTGCTCCTTCTTCCACCTCTGCTGTGTGTCTTCTTGAGTCTCAGATCATCATTAAGCCTTTTTTGTAGTTCTTTTAGTGTTTTCTGCAATCTTCCATTTTCTCCCTGCCACCCCCAGATAGTAACCCCTTCTCTTCACCTCTTTCTCTTGATCCCATCTTAATTTGTTTTTTTTTCCCTGTCCAGACTTGCTGCTGGAACCTGGATTTGCACTTTTTTTTCATCACTTTCAACTTTCTTGTGGCCTCTAAACAGTTCCTGCAATAGTTCCCAAGGGCTAACATAACATAAGAAAACACTTCAAAATGCTAAAGGATTAATAGCTTCAAGTGTGGAAGTTGCTCTCTAGGTCAGAAAAATAGTCAGAATAGGATACCAAAGACCAGAAAAGTAGGAGACAGAGAAGTGTACCTGGAAAAGATATGTATGGAGAGTGCTAGTGATAGTGGGTAAGGTAGAGGGAATGGGGTGACATGGAAAATGGGTCTGTGAGGAAAAGTGGATCCTTGTGAGTTCAATGTGTATGTAATTATGTGTATGTAAACTGTGTGGGAAGGGAGCTTAATGTGGTAAAAAAATGTAACAGTCCACTTCAGATTTTGGTCCTGCCCACTACTGGCCTACAGCCTGTACCAGTTTTCCATGCAGGAAGTATAGCTGTTACATCCTAAAAGTTTCCCCTAGCCCTACTGGAAATATAAAATGAATTTAAAGAAGAATGTATGCTGTAGGTTAGCTTGTATGTTTTGTAAAGCAGTATGTACAGCACTAACTAAAAGTTAAGTGCATCACTAGAGCATAGAGGTGTGCAAATAAGAAACTGATAAGCAAATGATCTTTTTTAATGCACCTTCTTTTCAGGTGCAGCTGGATATACTAACCAAGTGAGAAGAGTTCCTGTGAAATTACCCACACAAAATCTCAGGCTTGGCCTCTCCAGGTTTGCTAAAGTGAAACCTTTGCACCCAAGTTTAGCCAGCACCTGAAAGTACCTGAGATGGCTTTGGACAATTTCAAATTAAAATTAAAGGGCTACTTTGAGGTGGAGGAAATATTTTTGTTATTTTAAAATAGGAAATCTACTGTGGGGAATAAACATATTTCAGATTGGAAGAAGGCATTACATTTTTTAAACATTCTGTGCCATAGTATATGAGCTACTTTGGCTTAAAATAAACTCTTTTAATGATGTTGATGATGTGAGCTTTCCCTGAGCCACCGAGTTGTTTAGATCATTAGCAATTAATCCCAATTGTATAGCAAGTTAACACTTCACCTGGAGAGTGTGGTCTAGCCCAGTTATCTCAGATCCTATCAACCCAGTGCCCTCTAGATGGTTTGGATTGCATCTGATGATTGGTCATGCTGTAGCCCAAACCATTTGGCAGGCACTAGGTTGTCTGACCCTGACGTAGGGGCTGCATTTTTAAACAGAAAAACTAAATGTAGCATGGCAGAATTTGTTTGAGTAATTGTGATGTCTAGTTAGAATCATTCTTGAAATTCCACCTTGATAGTGTTTTCTATGAAAAGGAAGAAGTTACCCTTTCTTAAGGATATACTGTTATCTCCCTGACTCATCCTAGCATATTATCCCTCAGTTATAAGAAACATTTGATTATTTCATTCAGGTGTGAGTTTAAATGATAAATGGATATTAGATATTTCATTGCATATGAACTTTTTAGAAACTAAAATAAAATATTATTTGTGTCTTCCTAGTAATCAGTATCTCTTCTTGAAAATCCAGTAAGGATTAAAATAATATTTCATAAAACTTTTCTTTTCCATTATTTGGAGCATAAATAGTTGCCAATATACCTCTTTTCATTAAGAAATCTTATCTTGAGGATAATAAATATTCTTTCTTGGTCTTTAACTTCTTTACATTTAGTCCTTGATTACTGTGATAGACCCAACTCTAACCCTTTTTTGGAATTTGCTGAAACTTCATACACTTTCCCCATATATTATTTTAAGATAATTGTAAGCTAATATGAATGACAATTCAGTGGGGCCTAAAGCAATGGTCCAAATGAAAAATGCCATGGCTGGGAAGAATTTCCATTATAAAAATGAGCATCCTACCTAAATTAAATTTCCTTTTCCAAATGACACCAATTTTTATACAGGGAAAAATCCTTCAAGAATGGCAAAGACAATTGAATACTTTTATTTGGAACAGGAAAAAGCCAGGGATCAGATTTAAAGTTTTATAAGATGAAAAGGAGAGGAGGCCTTGTAGTACCCAATACCAAATTATACTACTATGTGACTAGTTTGGTTTAGATTAATGATTGGATTATAAATCCTAATGAGAGATTAATAAAATTGGAAAAACAGATCTGGAAGAAAGAATACACAGTTATTTATGGATTAAGTAATGTATTGAAAATTTTTAATACCAAATAATGGTTATGTACTCAGGTATGTTCTAATACAAATATGATATACCCTGAGAAGAGGAATTAGTCCTCCACTCTTGCCTTTGATGTCTCCAATTGAAATGTACTATGATAAATATGTGAGGAAAAGTAATCATTTTATAACATATGAAGACATGATTGATATGCATGGAGGAATTAAGTCATGGTAAAAACTAAAAGATGAAGAGAAAAATATAAAATGGTTTCTTTATTTCCCGTTAATATCCAGACTAAAGAGACAATTACAAATAGGGAAAGGTGTTATAAGTGACCTGATGCACTTTGAAGCTATGTATGCACTAGAATTGCCAGCCACCACTAAAGGAACTGAGGGGAGTTTATCTTCATGCTCCCCTAAATACTTTTCTAATGTATTCCAGCAATCTGCATCATAATATGTTTTCTAGGGGGAGCATAGACAGTCACAAAAATAAAAGAGTGCATTTTGATAAGGATTGCCATTATACATGAAACTAACACTTAAAGATGAATTATTAATGCTAAATACATTTTATTTGTTTTTATTGTGCAATACACAGGCAACCAAACTGCATCATAAAGAAAAAAGCAAACTAAAAAAAGAAATCACAATTTTAATAGTATTTAAGAAAAGAAAAAGATCTATAGCATTGATTACATACCTATATTATATATACCTATATATTACCATATATTGTTTGCCTGTAACTGTCGTCTTTGAGTGGTCATCTGTTCATTCACATATATGGGTGCTGTGCCTGTGCAGTGCCTGTATTTTGGAAAATTCTCTCAGCTTATTAATACTTTTGGTGGGAACTCCGCACCCCCTTTCCCTCGTATAAATAGGTGGAATCCATGCCCTATCGCCAGTCCAGCTGGAGACCAACCATTTGCTCCCCAACTGGTACTGACATGTTAGGAGAAATTAATTTAGCTTGCCTAATTTCACCCACTGACATCAACGTGGGACTGGTGGGTGAGTTGTGTGAATGCACAGATGACCACTCAGAACAATAGTTACAGCTAAGCAACCTGCCTTTCTTTGTTGTGGTCTCTGTGCATCACACATGGATGATTGGCATGCTTACCCAACCTAGGAGGTGGGGCTGTGTCATCACTGCAGGACAGTTGAGAGGATAGCATGAGTGGAAGCGCATTCTCTCCTAGCCTTTACATCAAGGTGGTAGTGTCGAATAAAGGTACATGGGGTTCTGGGAAGTATACAGGTAACACAAGGTCTTGATTAAGATGGAATGTTGTCACTACCTTTGGAAGAAAGGTTGGGTCCATACGAAGGACCACCTTTTCCTTATGGAAATTTAGGGTCAACTCAGAGGGCAGACAATTTGCTTGCTCTTCTAGCTGAAGTTATAGCTACCAAGAAGGAAGTTTTCTGTTATAGTAATCTCAAGTCCGTGGAAGCTGAAGGTTCAAATGGTGGTTTAAGTTAGAGTCTGCAGGACTACAGAGAGACTCCATGTTGGTACGATCAGTCGGATTGGAGGGTGTACATTTTGGAGTCCTCGTAAGAACCAATGTGTTAACTGATGCGAGAATACAGATGTTCCCTCTATATGTCCTCTATGGTACAATATGGCTGCAAGGTATACCTTGATGGATGATGGTTTAAGCCCTGCCTGGTGTAGTGAAAGGAGAAACTGGAGTATATTCTCTACAGTTGCTGATTAGGTGTGAAGCTGCAAAGCAAAACATGTAAAGCATTTCCATTTCAAGTTGTATAGCCATTGATTATTCAGCTGGAGGGCTGACTGTAGAATGTATTATATGTTTGGATGTAGGATTGTCAGTACTGGGTTCAGTGTATTAGCCAGGCACTTAGTTTCAGCATATGGTGATCCAGGTGTAGGATCTTGTCCTGTTGTTAAGTGAGGAGGTCTGAGATCTCTGGGTGGTGCATGTACATCCCTCATGACAGCTGTAGAAGAGTTGGAAACTAAGCTTGACGAGACCACCATGGAGTGATCAGTATGCAGGTGAAGTTTTCCTGTCCGATCTTCTTTAAAGTCCTTGTTATTGACAGGATTGGAAGAAATGCATAGAACAGAGCATTCTAAGGGATTATGAATACATCTCCCAGGGAGTTCCCTCCTATCCCCACTCTGGAGCAGTAGGCATCACATATCAAGTTGGGGGAGACTTGTCTCAAGAGTACTGCAAGTGAGAAGGATCTTGGGATTGTTCTAGATCATGGGTCCTCAAACTGTGGCCCACAGGCTGGATCCGGCCCGCCATGCCCATTTATCTGGCCCACCTCAGAGCTTTTGGACTCACTACATGCCCGCAGGCACACAGCGAGGCAGCAGCTTGCTCGTGTGGTGATTGTTTTGGACTCGCTTGGAGAAAATGATCTCTGTGCGAGCAAGCCACTGCCTCTCTGCGCGCGGTCCCCCACCCCCTCACTGCCCCATGCCCCCCATTGGCACCGCCTTGGTAGCCCGCACCCACTGCCAACACCTTTCAACTGGCCCCCTGTTCAAAAAGTTTGAGGACCCATGTTCTAAATCATGAGCTGAATATGAGTCAACAATATCATGTGCCTGCAAAACAGGCAAATGTTATTTTGGGTTGTGTTAAGAGAAACACCACTTCCAAATCACATGAAGTAGTAATTCCCCTCTACTCAGCACTGGTTGGGCCTCATCTGGAGTACCGCATCCAGTTCTGGGCACTGCAGTTTAAGAAAGATGCAGATAAACTGAAAAAGCTTCAGAGGAGGATGATAAGGGTGACCCAGCGACTGGAAACAACATGAGAGAAGTTGAAAGAACTGGGCATGTTTAGGCTTGAGAAGAAAAAAGGAGGAGAAGATAGCACTGTTCAAGTACTTGAAAGGTTGTCACACAAAGGAAGACCAGGATCTCTTCTCAATCATGCAAGAATGCAAGACACAGGATAATGGTCTCTAGTTACAGGAAGCCAAATTTCAGCTGCACATCAGGTCTTACTTCTGGACTGTTAGAGATGTACTGCAATAGAACCAACTACCTAGGGAGGTCATGAGCTTTCCCATACTGAAGACATTCAAGCTGGACAGCCAACTGAGAGAGATGGTTTAATTTGGAGTCCTGCATTGAGCAGGTTATTAGACCTGATGGCCCTTTCAAAATCTACTATTTTATGATTGCATGATTTTCATACTGTTTGGTGAAGGTTAGAATCCTGGCTTTAAAACGAGTCCAAGATTATTTGCGTTGAACCTTGCTTTGTGCCGTTTTTCAGGACCTTTATTCAGGATCAACAATTCACTCTGCCCTTCCATTTTAATGGAAATTATAGGGTGACTTTTCATCCCAGGCATTTTTTATTTTTAAAATAAAGGCTAGGATGTTGACATTTGGAGACGTTTTAGCCAAAAAGTCTGAGAAGATAATGTAGTTTGCCAAGGCCAAACAGAAGAGGCCTTGGGCACCTCACTCCCCATCAATGCCTCAAGTGACTCCACCACACATGAAACTAGCTCTGACTGAACCCACATCAACAATAGAACTGATCTTGGCTATGTCAGTTTTGGAGG